TGATAACGATGAAACAAATAAAGTGCTGAAAAGCTTTAAAACTGATCAAGATCTTTCGATTCGAACGCACGGAGCATGATTCAACGGCAAATCGATCAATAATTAAATGGCAAACGCTAAATACTAATAAATAAATAAGCGATGGCCTCAGGGCGCCGATGAAGCTGCTCGGCACCTTGGCCTTATCATCATTTGTGTCAGCTTGTAGCCGTAGTCGTAGCCCCGCCAGCTCTTCCAGCAAATTCCCCGGCCCGATAGCTTTCTTTCATAGCTGCCGCCCTCCACGTACTGGCCATTTAAATTGCTGCAAAAGGAACAATGTTTTGGAAGAAGATAGCTAGACAAAGGCCCAAAACATACGCACCTATGTTGACAGGAATTGTACCACCAGGCACCCACATAGGTCAGGGCGCAGCGGTTACGGGTCTTGTCGTTGTCGTATGTGGCGAACGGCATGCCCACGTGATAGCTCAGCGCATCCCCAGCATCGCCCGTGTATTTGCCCAATCTGCTCAGGGCATACGACTCGGACTCGTTGGCCACGACGAACCTATCGTATTTGGCATAGCGCGTCTCCCCGTCAAAGTCTTCCAGGTGTATGTACAGCTCGTAGGGCTCTGCATGCGTCATAAAGTGCAGCGGCTCCAGGCCCATAAAGAACTCAGCACTCAGATTGCCAAACCCGGCCCGATACTCGGCCCAGCTGCGATAAAAGTTCTCGCTGCCATCCTGACGACGCTGGATGACTGTCCAGCCGGCGCCAGCAGTACGGGTATCGCATGACACCGGAAAAGGCTCCAGACCCGCCACCTGAACAGTGTGTATGCCGTCTGTGTTGATCATTGCCGCCAGGCAGGAGGGCGGATAACCTAGAGATGTTCCGATAAACAGGCTATATAAGGGCTCCCGTAGCTATGAGATTTCGCCTTACCCGTCTGCTTAGTCTTCGGAGTTGCTGCTGTAGTTAAACTGGCTCTCAACTGGCTTAGTTCCACTTTCAGACTGTAAGATTAAATAACTATATCATATAAAGTGTAAGCCTTTTCCCACAAACCTTGAAATAAGCTGTTCAGTCTTTTCGTAAAGTTTTCCCAATTGTCCTCTTGCTGGACCTGCTCCATTTCCATCATTTGAAAGATCCTCCGCTTTAATGAAGCTCCACGAGAGTAACAAGAGTACAGTTATTCCAGCTCTGCAATTCATGTATGCAACGATCTTATGTATTACTTCTCTGATCTCGCAATCTAGACTAAACTGTAAATCATTTAGTGCATTCGAATTAGTTAATTGCTCTGATTATAATTGTACCCAGTAGTCGGTGGGCACGGGGTATACTTCTTCTATTCATGCTTAGTATTACGAACATTTTAACAAGATAATATTATTATTATCAAATGTATTAAGTGGCAAACTTGTAAACATCTCTGGTTTTGATGAGCTTCTAATTTCCATACACAAATAGCCTCAATGAGTCATTCACTTAGACAACTCATCTCATTCTCATACATGAATATTTTTATACAATTTTAAACCAAAATGAATTCGTCCAGTTAAATACCCTAACAAATATATACAACACTTTGTTCCTATATAATATAGTATTCATTCCATACAAGGGACATAGCTCGATATGCGAAAAGAAAGCAGAGCACTTAATTGCCGAGCTTGATTAGGATATCTTGAAAACGAAAATGTTTTTCATATAAAAACTACGTGTTTCCTTCGTGTTTCCATACCAATAAAATCCTCAACATTTAGATATTTGTCTGAAAATAATAATAATAATATATATATAAATCTGGGAACTTATTGTGTAAAGTCTATATATAAGACTGTTTGTCCTAACTCAGATTCATTTCCAAAGATTTTTATGAACAATTTGTTGAGAGTCATTCACGCTTTTCGCAGAATCCAAGCTTCCTCTGTTTGGGTGGAGTTTTAATTTAGTCCGATTTAAATAATCATTCGATCGGCTTTAAAATCATTTTCCCAGATCTTTGTGAAAATTCATTTGAGACACTTTTTGTTAAATTCACCTCAATTGGATAATAAATGCGGTTCAAAGGTTGAATGAACGAAAACTTATTTTTATATAACAAATCATTAAATCTGAATTTATATATGGTTTTAGGTCAAAAGGGTACTTTAGACCTTGGTATAGGGTATCTCCAAGGTATCTCCATTTGCTTGCCTCTAGAGTTTCTTATTTGCGACAAGTAAAAACGTAGGTCAAGTTTTTATCGCGGGTTTAATGAATGTCGTCTGAATGTATCTAAAATATGAATGCAGGGTAGATTTATTCATATAGATATATAAGTATACCCAGGAAATAAAATATTTGTAAATCATTTGGGACTGGAATTGAAAATAAAATGTAGCCATGCGTATTCAGCATACTAATCGAGTGGAAGATTATGAAGCCATATTCTGTGACAAGTCCGGAATAAATGTGAGCTGTGCATGCAATTGAAGAGTTAAGGAATCGCGTCACATTTCTGCTGCGAGACCTTGTTGCCTTTAAAGGAAGCTGGAAAGGTTCGGCACTTGGGCCTAATCATCATTTGGGTGAACTTGTAGCCGTAGTTGTGACCACGCCAGGCCCTCCAGCACATGCCGCGCGCGAAGAGCTTCTCCTCATATTTGCCGCCCTCCATGTACTGTCCATTGAGATTGCTGTGAGGGTGCAGGTGACATCACATAAGTGATATACCAAGAGGTGCCAATCTATGCAAGTTACCTGTCCACACAGCTGTTATACCACCAAGCACCCACGTGGAGAAAGGCGCAGTTTCTGGCAAACTCGCGATCGTTGTCGCGATCGTAGGTGGAGAACTTCATTTTGCGATGACTACGCAGCGAATCGCCCGCGTTGCCCGAGTAGGTGCCCAGCACATTGAGTGCATACGAATCCTCTTCGCTGCCAATGGCGAATTCATCAAATTTGGCAAAACGTGTCTCTCCGTCGAAGTCCTCGAGCACAATGTACAGCTCAAAGGGCTCCAGAGCTGTGATAGCACGCAGTTTCTCCAGACCAATAAAAAACTCGCCACGGGGATCCCCAAAGCCGTCCTTGTACTCTTGCCAGTTGCGATAGAAGTTTAGGCTGCCATTCAGTCGCCTCTGAATGACCAGCCAGCCGTATCCGGCAAAGCAATTATCACAGGCGACGGCAAACGGTGCCAGACCCGGCACCTGTATCGTATATACGCCACTTGCATTGAAATGGGACGTCAAACAGGATGTGGGATATGTTTTGTCTGTGGGTAAATATTTTTTCAAGTGAGGGAACCTTAAAGTCTGTAAATCTGAGAATCCAGCATACCATCTTTACGGGAAATGGAACCATCAGCTGCTTCGTATCCTTTGAGTGCTTCCAACTGCTTCTCTAGACTGTGAAACATTCAACTTTGCAAAACATTGCAATTATAACTCTCTCTCTACGTACCTTGAAAGCAGCTTTTGTGCCGTTTCATGCACAGTTTCCAGATCTTGACACTGTTCAGAGTGTATTTAGTTGAATATTAAATTGAAGTACACTTAACAATTTTCTTACCCTTGCATTGTTCGCGGCATAGCAACTGATGAAACATACAATGTAAATTATATTGACTGTTCCCAAGAGCTCCATGTCAATAACTATTCAATTGATATAAAATGCACTCAAACAGCTTTTCATTTTCTCGTCATTTGTTATTTGCAATTGACACAGTTTTCAGGTCTCGTTATCAGCTCTTATCAGCTGCTAATAAAATCAAAGGTCACTGGTATCAAGATCAGGGATAATTGTAGGGCTGATATTGATTTTATTATTGGCTGATTAATCTGTTTGTGAGGTGAGGTATTTAAAAGCTGGCAATGTAACAGTAATTATGAGTTATGAATGAAGAAGAAGAATCGATGTAATATCAAGCTTTAAAGTTATATCCTTACAGCCGTTTAACTCATGCTCGCTTTGCTGCGTTTCGTTGCTTGATGCTTATAATTCCCAACAAGTTGTAGCTTTGAGAGAGTGGGAAGGTATGGGCGAAGCTGCAGTTGATAGGATGAAATGGGTAAAAAGGGCATAATGTATTTGTCCGTATGTATGAACGCAAGGATCTCAGAACTTATAGGAGCTAGAGACTTGAAAATTGGAATCTAGGCCCTGTACGAGCTTATTTCCGATAATCGATAACTCGCCTCGTTTCCAAGCAATCGATAAAAATCTTTATCGAACTGCTCTTTTTGAATAATTGAATAATTTTATAACTATTTCGAGAGAGCCTCTTACTTGTTTTACCATGTTTGTGGCTGGATATTATATTAGAAGCCAGCCAGTTTAATATTTATCTGAAAATGTCTGAATCTGTAGATGTCGCAATGGACAGAGATCGTTTAAATCATTCAGTTATTTATTTTGACAATGCTTAAAACTATTTTATGTTAATAAGCACAGGTCAATGCAAAGCATTAGCCATAATTTTGAGTATCATTTGCATTCATGTAGTCATATACTTATGTACATACACACACACACACACAGATACATAGACAATGATGTATGAGCTTGTGGCAATGGCACGTGGGCTTTGTTGTTGTGGATTCTGTGGGAGCTTCGCCCAATGACTGCCAAACTGTGCGGGTCTGGCATTCATTTTACGCGCTGTTTGCGCTTGGATTTTATTTTGTTTTATCGAGGCGTCAATCTCGAAACAACAAAAAAGACAAGACAAGAAACAAACGACGGGCATACATAAATATAATAAGTATAGAAACTGAGTTATTAAACGTGTGTGGGAGGCGACAGTTGCCGCTGGCTCGAGCGCGTCTCGAGTTTGTGGCCTCAGTCTCAGTCACAGTCTTGAATCCGAGCCGGGCACAGATACCACGGAAAGCCCAAAATGCGTCTACTTCGACGCACGCACTGCCAGAAAGTAATCCTTGTCGGGCAGCTTCAGCCTACGCCTGGGCTTTAAGTATTCTCACGGCTTGCTCTAACATTTGCCCTGGTTTGCTTACAGATGGCCATACCCCCACCACCAGGACCACCGCCACCGCCGGGCCCGCCGCCACCACCGGCTATGGGCGGACTAAAGCTGGGCGGCGGCGGCGGAGCAGGCGGTGCTGATCCGCGCTCCGCGCTACTTAGCTCCATTCAGAAGGGCACCAAGCTGCGCAAAACGGCCACAGTTGACAAGAGCGGTCCGGCGTTGTCCGGACGTGTTTGTGATGGCGACGGCGGCGGCGGCAGCAGCGGCGGCTCTGCAGCGTCAGCCGCTTCGAAGCGCACGCTCAACAACAACACCAGCAGCAGCAACAACAACAACATCAACAGCAATGGGGCGCCCAAATTGGGTGGCCTTTTCGAAGGCCTGTCGCAGATGCCAAAGCTGAAGCCAGTCAATGGCGTTCGTGGTAAGTAAAAAAAAAAACTATATATATATATCACTTATGCAAATGAACATTGAGTGTGTTTTGTTGCTCAATTGATTTCCGCTTTGAATATTTGGACGCACACCCACGCACAACAACAACAACAACAATAATAATAATATTATTTATAATAACAACAACAATCATAAATTACAGCAGCACCAACAGCGGCAGCGCCGTCAGCGGCAACAGCAGCGACGCGCAGCAACAGCCCCCCCAGCGCCGCCGGCAACAATGGACCCATGGACTTTAACGCAGAGCTCACCAAGCATTTAACATTGAAGCGTCAGAAGCAACAGCAACAACAACAACCGCAACAACCGCAACAACCGCAACCACAGGCAACAAGCAACAGCACACATATCAATGCAACCGAAGCCAATCTGAGAACAAATCGCGGACCACCACCGCAGCCGCCAAAGGTGAGTGACGCGAGTGGAGACCCACACAAAGAAAAGCCACTGCGATTTGTTTATTAATAGAGCCGACTACAGCGACAAGGAGTTCCAAAGCGAGTATAACTTATAGAAATCTATTTAGGCATCCGAGTGCCCAGTCTTATCGCAGATTGAATTAAAATAGAGCCTTAACTCGGTTGCAACCACAAGTACAAGTTCGAGTATGAACTCGAACGTGAATACTTATTTGGATAGCGCTTGCGTGAAGAGTATCGGAAAATTCTGTGAATGGATAACACAGTTTTACGATCCTATATACATCTATTTAGGCATCCGAGTGCCCAGTCTTACCGCAGATTGAATTAAAATAGATCTTTAACTCTGTTGCAAACAATCACAAGTACAAGTTCGAGTACGAACTCGAACGTGAATACTTAGTTGGATAGCGCTTGCCTCAAGAGTATCGAGAGATTCTTTGAACAGATTACATTGTATTCCGATTCCATAACCAGAGACGTTTTATTATTTAATAGAACTTACACCAACATCTGTTGGCTTATTAAATATCACTTGCAATGTTTATTCCTTCTGTTTTTCTCGTTAATAAACCAAGTTGATATCATTGACATTTATTGTCTAATTTGAACTGCCGTAATATAATAATCAATCACAAATCTCTGACTAGTATTAGCTGATCTTTAAATTAAAAGATTTATATATGTTGCTTAACGCATTTTATACAACAAGTAACCCATGCGATTTTACCTTTCCCGTTTGATTGTTTTCTATTCTGTTAGAACTCCAGCGATTCCATATTGGACCGCATGAACATACCTCGTACGGCGCCGCCCACGTCCACGTCCACGTCAACGACTGCGAATGGCCATGGCAATGCCAAGCCGAAAGCCTCATCGCCCACGCTCTCGGAGAGCGGCAGCAGCGGGAGCGTGAAAAGCAAAGCGGCTAATCTTAGGTAAGTCTCTCTCTCGCTCCAAAATGGGGCAGCCTCCGATCGGGATCGGGGTCGGGATCGGCCCACCAAGATGTGTGTAACTATTTGTTATGGTTTTTTTAATTTATTACTTTTTGTAATATATATATATATATATTTATATATGTTTGTAATTTGTACTTTTGAATTTTGAACTTTTGTACATGTTTTTTTGTATATTTTTGCATATTTTTTTTGTTTTTGATTTCTTTGCCGGGCATTTTGGTTAAACCCCAATTCCACCAATCGAACCGACACATCCACAGTATCTCGTTAGGCAATAGTTTTGTAAATAGTTCAATTACAAAAACAACAACAACAACAAGCGCAACAACAGCAGCAACAAACTCCAGTCGAACAGCAACAACAGCAACAACAACATCAACGGGAACTCTGCGCAATTTGGCGCCCAATAAATCAACGCTGTTTGGCGGTGCTGGTGGTGGTGGGTCTGGTGGTGCTGGTTGTGGTCCTGCTGCAGCAGCAATTGGTGGTGGTAATGTCTCGCCCACGCCCACGCCCACACCGCCCGCAGCACAGCAACAGAAGCCGGCCATTGGGTTTGGCAAGCCAAACTTTGCGCCAAAGCCGCCGGGCCTGCAGCAACTGGCGCTCGCCAACGGGCATCAGCGGCCGGCGGTGGCGCGGCATCACAGCATGAAGTCACCCAGGTATAGCATCGCCCCACATACTCTCACTCGCCACTCTATAAGCCTTCACAGGCCTCTGGCCGCACACCGCTTGCGCTGTTTGCAACTGCCTCAGATGCGCTCATCTGGTTGGTTTTAGTTTTCCAGCTTAACTCCTGCTCCATGACTGCACGCTAGCTACTAACGCATTGCATTGTATGCTTCATTGTTCGACAGCTCCGTGTTAATCTTGCTCTCTGCTCTCGTAGATCTCCACCAGCTGCTGGCGGCGTCAACGGACCCGTTTTCGCCACCGCCCAACAACATTTTGGCACAATGCGCGCTCCGCTCCAGCAACAGATGCTACTGCAGTCCGGTGAGTGCATCAGCGGCAGCACCAACAGCATCACGGGCAGCATTCGAGCTGCACCCAATCCGCCAAAGAGTAAGTAAATATGTTAATATGTACAGCTGTTTCTCAAATCAATTGCATTAGCTTATTCATTAGCACGGGTATTCTGTTTATAATCTGCCCTTGGTATACTATAGATCCTAATCTTGGAGTAGATTAAGGACCAAATAGCAAGAGGGCTCTCCACAAAGAACTAAGCCCAGGATTCTGGCTATACTTAAACTGTTTTACAAGCAATTTAGTATATTAAAACTTTTCAAAAACTGTAATTTATAATCAGTACAGTTGCGGGAAAAAAGGAATAGAAATACCCAAAAGCCATACCAACATTTGGTGTTAACAGAATAATGTTATAATATGTTATGTAATGTTATAATATGTTATATAATGTTATGTAATTCTAGCACATTTAAACAATTCCTGTTAATTATAGTACTTACGTTCTACAAGGGTTTAAAAATGATTTCAATATAATTTTACATATATGGGCAGTTTGAGCAATTGATTAATTTATATATTTATTTATTTGGTTTAAAAATTTTTTTTAATTTCTGGATTCTTGACTTGCAGCACGCCCCTCGGTCAAGCCGCCGCCGCCGCCAACGCCATCGCGCAGCATCTCGAACAGCAATTTGAGCAGCATTGCGGCGCCCTTCAGTGCCGTTAACACGGCGCTGGTGCAGAGCGCGGGGATCAGCACGTCAGCGCCATCGCCGCCGCCGCCGCAGCCGCCTTCCAGCTCGAGCAGCAGCAGCAGCGTCGCCGCGCTGCGGGATCAGTTTCGCGTCGGCGGCAGCGCGACGCCGCCGACACCGCCAAGCGGCATTACCGCCAGCCCGAAGTCGGCGACAATGCGCGAGAAGGTCAATCCCATCATTCTGAACGGTGGGCCCATTAATCCGCCAGCGCTGCCGCCCCACCGCAGCTGCCCGCCGCCTCCGCCCCCGCAGCGACAGTCAAGCCACGTAAGTAGCCAACAACAAGTTGGCGCATATGCCAGAGGTAACGGCAGTCAGCGCAGAAATAATGTTGCAGCTGCTTAAGCAGAGTAATTTTACACTGTAAGAAATTACTCTTAATTAAAGGTCGCAAGCTGCCTCGGTACGAATCTCTAATGAGTTTTTAAATTGTAATTGAAAATCCCGTTTCTAAAGGCCTTCAGATTGCAATTCATAACACTGATTTACTTGGCATTTAAATTCCAAGCTTCATAATAATAAATAACAATCAATAAGAATTGCAATTTATTGCTAAGAATATTTTAGCTCAAACTCAGCTTAACGTTTCGCACAGTGTGCAAAAACTACGTTGGGGGTGCTCTGTTTTGCCTCGCTCTCGCTCGCTCTCTTTTTCTGCCTCTCACAGGCACACTCTCACGCAACAAGCATCCCCTCCCACCCTCCCTCCCTCTCTTTGAGGCATCTCCTTTGGTGTGCGCTCTGCGCGCTCGCTCTTTGCTCTCCGCTGCGCACTTGCGTTTAGCTTTTTAGTACCTTTATGGATTTTCCAACACGTAATACGTGACCCAAACAGCTCCGTTACGGATTTTCGCTCATCGCACGCTCGTTTTGTTGTCGCTTGTGTGTGCTTAAAGTGCAGGATAATTTGCGTTATTGTTGCCAGTTAACTCTATATCCTGCGCCTGCTGCACTTGGCATGTGAAACGCTGGCTGTCCGTTCAGGTAGCAACAAATCAAAGAGTGCCTTCTGAACAGGCTCAAGGCTAACAGAATGCTGATGCACAATCAAAAGAGAAGCGTAACCGAGACTTGCACGTTTAACCTTCTAGAATCGCCCAACTAAATGCATGTTATCCTTTCTGCAGACTGGATCCCAACAGCAGCAACAGCAGGCTCCAGTGCCGCCGCAGCGTCACTCCTCCATTCGGGCGAATGCCCCGCTGACGCCGCCTACGCACATGGCCAATGCGACGCACAATTTTGGCAGCAGCGGTGGCCTGTCAACGGGAGCTGGAGCGGGAACGGGCGCATCTGTTGGTCGGCTGGTCATCGATTTGGAGGCAAAGTTTGGCAAAAGATTTCATAATGTCACCGAGTTTCCGAAGCCGCCTCCGTTTCTAAATATACAAAAAATCTATCCTAGTCGCACGCTTAAGGCAACCAATGGTATGTAAAGGATGTATACATAAGTATGTGAGTATGTGTGTAATCGTGTGTATGTGTATGTGTATGTATGTGTAGGTGTAGGTGTGTGGGTCGATTCAACTGTTAAAGCAAACTCACGCGCCGTGTTTACGAACAACATATTATGATTATGTTTATTAAATATTATTATTACATATTATTAAAGTTATTATTACATAATTTTATTGTTATATGCACACATACACGGAATGCTGTTACATAATGATATGCATAATATTATTATTATTTTTATTATTAATTATAAGCACACCACATATAATGTAGCATTTGAGTTCGATGAGAAGATAAAACTATATACAACGATGCAATTTTAAATTGTCCTCTATACACACACACACACACACACGCGCAGAACAACAACAACAACACATATGCTATCAAATGTAACGTTACAATTTATGATTATGTTTAAAAATGTTAAATATATATAAATATATAAAGAGTTGATAGCTTTATTCCACATAATTTTGTTTAAAAGCATATTTTTTTATATACATACATACTTTGTACACACACACACACATATATATATATATATATATGCGAACATTTGTATGTTAGCAAGGGAAACAGCGATATTATTACTAAGCACACGCATATTATGTATTATTATAGAGACCCATGTTTACACACACACACATATATGTATATATATGTATGTATGTGTGTATATGTTAAGCCTCATACTACAATTTGCATTATGTCCAAGTCCTCATGCATTCTTTCTGTATTTCTGTAGCGCATGATTTTACTTTATGTATTGTCGTATGTATTGTCTACAATCGGCTTCATTTTATTTTATATATGATTATCTTATATCTTATCTATAAACACACGTACAAATACGTATGTTATTTTTTTTAATATCGATGAATATTTAATTTTAGCACACAAGCACATTATTATTGTTTTATTTGAAGTTATTATGAACAATAAAAAACCAAAAGGAAAATTGAACTTTTTAAGCATTCAACATTTGACACGCGTTGTATTGTCCTCCGCATCCCTGTGATCGGTTCTCCTCCTCTTCTTCTTCTTCGTCTTGATCTTTTATCATTTGTGTTTGTTGCTTGCTTGTACAAATTCCATTGCCTAAGCAACAGGCGCCGCTTCAAACTGTCTTCGTACTTAGTATCTACATATGTATATATATCTTTCCCACTTTCTCTCTCACTTTCTCCCAACTTAACTGTCTCTCTCACGCTTGAAATGCAGAAACAACTTTGATGCCAAATAACAACAACAACAGCAACAACAACAACAGCGCAGCTGCATGCAACAACAATGCAAAGGCGCCAACGGTGCTGAAACCCGCCTATGCGCCGCTTAAGAAACACCGCGCCCCCGCACCACCCCCACAGGCAGGCGTGGCTGCCGCTACAGTGTCTGTGATAAGGCAATCCAGCTTTCTATATGGCGGCAGCAGCGCAGCAAGCGGCGGCGGCAGCGGCGGCGCCGCAGCTGCTGTCAATGTGCGTCCAAAATCGCAGCCGGCGCCAAGTGTGCCACGCAATTCGACGGTCTATTAATCTGGGAGCCTACTGTAATCATAACTGTAAATGATATCCATGTTTATGCTTTGTATATATGTGTGCATGTGTGCGTATGGGTGTGTGTCTCATTAACGTTGTGTTGTGCCGAGTCCGACTGCGTGCGTGCCTGCGTGTGTGTGTGTGTGTGTGTATGGGTAAAGTTGTATAAAGTCTATGAAATATAGCCCGAAAAAATGAGAACTGTGTATTTAAAATAAATACAAATAGATGTAGCAAATGTGACGAAACAATTGGAGGGAAAATTCTGCTGAAGGAAAACTGAGTTAATTGTGTTAAAGCTGGTTGAGCTTAGCTGCAAATTATATTTAGTTTAGTGTCTTCCCAGGCTAATACAATAATGCGTACACGTACATACATATACATATATAAATTCTGTACATAACAATTAGCGGCATTTGAATCTAGACCAAAGTTAGTCAAATTATCGAAGAGACAACACCAACACGGAATACCCTTTTATAAATATTTAGGCGCGTTTCTGTCGCTGTCCCTATCTAACTAGACTGAAACTGTTAAATTCAAATTCAAATTTTAAGTACACCTACATTAATATCTATATATATATATATATATATTTTTAAAAGCTATCAAACACACAAATGTTTTTGAAAAAAAATAATTAAAGCACAACCGAAGGGTTTTCCAACGAGATCCCATTTCACATTTTCACACAGTCACATTTTACATCAAGATCACGAGGAGCTAAAACTATTTTGTATTATTATTATTTTTGTTTGTGATACATTTCGAACTACTTGTTTATGCATTCTTCGACCATATTATGTATTTGTTAAAACCCCTAGGGCAATATATATTATTCACTAACATTAAATAAATTACTTATTATTAAATTCATTGTTGTTGGACCTTTGCCGTCGCGTCGTTAGAGCTAAATTACCAGCATATTACAAATAAACATTCTATTCAATATCATTGCATTTAAAGTTCGCATATTAATAAACTTAAAAAACCATTGAAAAATTAAATGCATTTTCTGGAATGGATTTACTAAAGGCTTCTAATGAAGGGTTCTTCGAAGAATGGGAAAAAACATCTGCTATAATTATCTCCGAGAAAACAATAGAATATGTTTGTATAGTTAATGCGAAAACCTGAGTAGCTAAATTTGGTTGGCCGAAATAGTTTTATTTGTTACTTGCTCTATTTATCTGTGAAAATATGTGAAAATGTTTAAAGAATTATAACATTTATTTATTTTAGCATATAAAACGCATTGCATGCGTTATAAAGTAGCAGCTACTTGAACTCGTTGTGAATTACATACGCCTGCCGGCCAATATATCTTTTGATGTAAGCATTTTATCGGGATGGTAGCTCAATCTCTAGCTTAAATGCGGATTTTCTTGATTTTCTTATATATTAACAACAAGCGCATATTTACATATGTATATAGGCTAGAGTGTAGTTAAAATAATATCGTTTTTGCCAGCAGTGCAACAGCGAACGGCCAACCAAACTATAACAATAATAAGCTTTATTAAACTTTAAATACAAATGAATATATATATATGGTATTTGGGGACGCTGAGCAATCTCCTATTGTAGCTTACAAACTAAATGGCTGCCTATGAGGTTTTATGCTTGAGCTTTAGATCCTGCACCGCCTCCTGCAGAGGCTGATCCTCGCGTTTACGTCGACGCTCACATTTAGGACATGGCTGGTGCTCGTTGAGGCATTCGGCGTGAAAAACAGCACCGCACGAAACGCACTGCGTATACACACAGAGAAAATTATACAAATATATGAGAATAGCTCTGCTGTTAACTCACCCGAAATGTGGTTGCAATGTGGAACGGATAGAGCACTCGTGGACTCTGACAGATTTCACAGATGAAACCCTTCAGGTGGCATAGCCGGCACTTGAGTACATGTGCCTCGCCCAGTTTGAAGGCCTTTTGCAGCTGCTGGCAAAGCGCTCCTCGTTGTATTAATGCCAAATCTGCTATGGAGTATTGGTGAATATGCTCGTATAGATACGCCCGGCCACAGAAATGATTTTGCAGCAACTCAATGCTAGTCGGCGCACAGGTGTATAGATAGGCACGTATGAAGTTCAAGCGAATGCGAAGTGACTGCAGCTCGGCCATGGCATCGGAGGCAAAGTAAATGCTGGGATTGAGTAGCTGCATGTCTAAAAACGGCTGGGAACGGTACTCGGCCAAAAATAACGCCGCGTGCTTGCTGACGCTGTACTTGCGAAAATCCCAGTTGTAGATGATGCGTGCCGGAATGAGTTGAGCCTCCGAGTCCATGCAGGTGTTGCAATAGTAACTGCCACTAAAGGCACAAACTCTGCGCGACAAGATTGAACAGAATAGATTAATATTGGGCTAAATTTGATGGCCCAGCATCTACGCACTGAAAGTTGTTGTCGCCAATACCCAAAGGATACTGACACCCCTTGCACAGAAAGCCCTGCGCATTGAGTCCTGGCTCGCGGGGCAGCTGACATAATTGGGAAACCATTTGCTTCAGCTCGGCCATGTCAAAGTTGGAGTGGATCAGCTCGAAATCCGAATTGGTCTGCCAGTAGATAAATATGTATATGCTTTGATAACTTAAATCACAACTGGGCTTACGTCAAGGGAATGCAGGTCGCTCATGTCATCTGTGACGGCCGGTTCAGGCTCGCGTTGCTGTTGCAGTTGTGCCACATTCAGCGTTGAGGCGCTGGCGCAAAACTTTTGCCAGATCTGCGACCAGCCAGCACCATCCTCGCGGTTGCTCTCGTGTTTTCGCAGCAGTGCATTGTAGCTGCAGCGATCCGTGTTAGGTGAGCGCAGGCTTGTGGCGCTGCTCATGCTGACAGAGCGCTGAAAAAACCGTGTTACAGACTCCTCTGTCGGTGAGTGAGCATCTAGATCGGCAGACCAAGAGGTCTGCATTAGATTCGTCAAAGAATTGCTGCCCTGCGGCAACTCAGCGAAAGACTCCTCGATGTGACGAATGGAACGCTTTCGAACTCGCTGAGTACTGCTGCTGGCTTCGGGCTCAGCCTCGGTTGCGGCTATATCTGCTTCCTGTGTCTCCTCCAAAGTGGGCGATCGCTCTTCCTTAATAATATCCATCTCGTCGACTTTTTGCATGAACAAATCCAGAATCTCTTGTTGGTTCAGATCTGGGTTCCCGAAGTGACCCCCGCGACTGAATGGACTATTCGAAATGGACTCCGAGAAGAGCTCATTGGTGTGAAGTGGCTGCGGTGTAGGAATAGCCACAATTTCCGTAGCCAACGAGCTGACCACATCCACGCCGCTGCTAATCTGTAAAATATACATCATTAGGTGGTGGTATAATTTCCATTTGTGTAATACGCACCGGACAGGACTTGAGCGCCGGCGTCCACAGATCAGACAGCTGCAGCGCATAGTCAGGCCATTGATTCAACAGACTTGAGTTGACGGGCAAATCGAATGACACATAGGCCTCCAGGCTCTCCATAATCTTTGCCGCTGTCTCCAAGCCTTCGCTATCCTTAAGCAGCGCGTCCTTTTTATAGTACGGCCGCAAAGCCGACCCATTCTTGCGCATGTTGTTCAAATATGCCGAGAAGACCGAGTCGTTGAGCGACTGCCGCACCCAGGCCCGGCACTGCCCAATCTCGGACGTTATCTGACTTAGGCATTGAATCTGCTCGATCACCTGCTTGTGCATAAACACCATAGCCGGCGACCAGAAGCTCGGCTCCGGCCGCCGTTCCACATCGCCAGCAATAACATTGATGGTGGCCCACAGAAACGAGTCCTTCAACCCGTGCAGGAACACGGCCTCCAATGTAGTGCACAAGGCGCTCGTCTGTTCACACAAGCCCAGCACCTCTGCAAGAGTTTTTCATGAGTCATTGTCGTTCCATTGAATTGGTGACTTACCCAATCCTTTTTGCTTAACTTCAAACTCGATTTCTCTGGCATTTTCGTTCAGTGTGTTTATCAACGCTTCTTTGACGACATTCTCGCGCTTTGTCGAAAAATTGCTCAGACTGCGAAAGAGGGCGCTCATTTGTTATTGTTGTGCTTCAGTTTAATATCTTCTTTTTCTGTATTTGTTGTTTAGCTTGGACATCTGCAGCTGATTGGCAGGGTTGACAGGGCTGCCGAAAATTGCTTATTGTATTTACTTAAAGCAAAACTTATGCGAATTATCTTGCTTATTTGCAAACAAAACCTAATAACTTGCGTCGCAATAAAAACAGCGAATATATGCAGTTTACACTTATAAATTCCGTTAGTAATTTATTCCCCTGAACCTCTGAGCTAGATCATGCAATCGAACTAGAGGTGAACAATCGGTTGCTGTTATCGACAGTTGGAACTGACGTTAACAGAATAACCGTTTAACCGATCAACCGTTTTTAACGGGTTTTCAAATATTAACAGCGGGTATGTCTTGCCATAGAATAATATAGGAATATAAACAAAAATTGTAGACACATGCTTACGAAATAAACCATGTATGCAGTATTCAGTTTCCGTTTGAGTTTGTGAGCTTCAAAACCAGTTCTTTTGATTCTTGGCTTTCTTTCTATGTGGGAATGCGCGATTATGCGAAAACAAAAAACCCACGCAAATTAATAACCACAAATTCCGCGCGCTCGAAAACAAGACAACGTTTAATGACTTTTGATGCCTTGGGGGTTTTAATTCAACGACCCAACGCCATTCATCTCATTTATGACTCAACCGGCCAAGGAATTTCTATTAAGCTTCAGCAATAAATTGTAATCGGGCATGTCGAATTTTTACAAAATATCAAAATATCAGTTGTAAATTGAAATGGTTTTTTTTTTCTTGTCTCAATCCCGACTTGTCCAAAGGCTGTGCACGTAGCCAGTTGCCACTTGATATTAAGCCGAAATTCGTGTTAAGGTCAGGGTGACCAACAAAGCTTATGCTGTCATTGTCGATCTTGTTGTTGTTGTTGTTGTTGTTGTTGTTGTTGCTTTAACGCATTTTTCAATATTTTTGCAATAAAATTGTATGGCTATAGAAGATGCGCTCCAACTGGTTCAGCAGCACTCAAAACTGGTCTCCCTCATATGACTTCAAGTTGTTGTTTTTCACTTTTGATGTTTTTCGAAACAATTTTCGTGTGGGCCTGCAGTCGACAACTGCACTTATTGAATACCCGAAACGGGTAACGAAATCATCAGTATTTACGACAAAACAATTTCAAAAATATTTATCCAATTTGCGAATGCCATATAAACATATTTGGCATTTATTTTGAACGGAAACGCCAGCTTTAATTAATGTGTTTCTTGGCGGGGAGGGGGTATCAACTGTGAAATGTTTAATGTTTGTGAAATTAATGATTATAACAATTAATAATAATAAATAAAAAAAAAAAAGGGTCGCCAACAATTTTCAATTTTCGGATTACGCATGCGCAGCGTCAACGTCATTTCCATTTCCCAACTCCAACCGAGAGCTCCCGACTAAGCGGTCTCCGGCTCTATTAAAGTAAATAATATATAGCGTGAATGCTGTCACTGCATTGTTGTTTGTTTTTGTTGTTGTTGCTGACTTGGCTCTTTTGCGGCAGCTCCACTCGAAGTTCGACTTGAGGCTGCCAACGGCATCTGTTTGGGCCGTGGGCCATTGTTATGGGTAGGAGAGAAACAAAAAACGAGAAACAAAATTTATAAAAACGTTTGTTTTCGTAATACAATTTTGATTACTTCTTTGACGCCGCTGAGCCTCGGCTCGTCGTCCCATTGATGGCTTTGTTTGGCTCTGGAGCGAGTTTTGATTTATTGTCGGCGGGCGCACAACAACACGGGCCAAAATGTGCGCCTTTTCGCGGCGTGTCCATTTGGTAATATCTTTGCCGTAATTGTAACAGTAATGATAATGCCCAGCTAGCCGTGATGCCTAATGCCCATGCTCATTATTAGTGTGCCTAGGAAGCGCAGTCGTAGTCGTAATACGAAATGCCAAACGCGGAACCAGACTTTAAATAGTAGCCGACATCATTTCTTTGGGGCATTAGGTTGAAAAGCCAGAGAAAACGGGCCTGGACCTTGCCCGGAAAATTGTGTGCCAGCGACACATGAGCAAAGCAATCGGAGAGGCTCCAGAAAGTGCATATTCACGGAATTGTGCAATCGAGATCAATGATCGCAACCAGAAGGATTGCACAACTCAATGTGATCTAATATGAGCGGCTGACTCAACCCAGAAAGTGCCGAATTAATGCAATTGATGACTAAAGCCGTCGACAGGCAATAAGAATTAAATTTGCCTCACAAAAGAAGTGCCGCTCATAAAAAGACGAGTTTAATGATTCGATGTTCGATGCTGAAAGCGAAAGCCGCCAAAAACGATCTGTCAAAGAACAGGATCTATTCTTTATATGTATGTATATATGGGTAGATATGGATGTATTTTAAAATATGTATTTGACTGGCATAAATTATGCATTGTTAGCAGCGACTCGAGTGTGAGCACGTCACACTGACAGATGATACATGGACGAGCTTAAGCTCGATCTTAAAAACCAAACCGGCCTGTCTAAATAAACAAACAATAAAGATACAAATGCTTCTAGCATTAACACATTCAGTTTCATTTATAATTTGCATAATATTCATAAATATGCGTATATGCAAAAGTGTTGAAACGTGTGCGCGTTGGGAAACAGTCGCAGTTGTCACTAACAGAATGTTAAGCCCATGTTAGGCGAATGTTAGTTTTGACCTTGAGCGACATTGGCAATGCATCACTGGCTCGCACCGGGTATGCAAATACACGTATGTCTGTCTAATAAGTTTAAGGCAATTACAGCAATTAATTTACACTATTTCCCGGTTTTCAAGCGCATTGCAAAGGTAACAATGCAATCGGCCTTTGGTCTTACCTGGACGCCTACACACATGCTCTCATGTACATACATGCATGTACACACACATGTATGCATGTAACTATGCTAATAGAATAATGTTAAAAATGTCCCAAATAAGAACGAAAGCGAGAGTGGCAAAAGCAGCACTGTAAATATTTCCGTATGCTGTTCAATTTCGAATTGCTCGGGAAATTTGTTTAATATGTATGTATGTACATATTTGTTTTGACGTCGTCGCGTTTGATCTCTGCTGCTGCTGAATAACAGATTTACATTGGGTCAATAGTCAATGGAATGGACTTACAGTTGAAAGTGCATTTCAGTGCATTTTCCATTTGAATGAAATAGTACATATATATATATTGGTTTGTAAGGATATTTTATTTCACAGTATTGCAGTTAAAAATAGTTCCCTTCCAGCATTAGTGTGTTTGACATTATTTTTCGCCTAGCTTAAATCGCATGTCAACCACTGTGCGCCGTCAGCGTCAACTTTAAGCCCATGCATAAGCCAAGCTTCATTCGTTGCCTCTGACGGCAGCAGAGTTTATTAAAAGCGCAGAACTCGTGAGCTACGGACGTGTTTCTGCTACGCTCGAGCGCCTCGCTCGTCTAATCTTCTGGTGTCTTCGTCTCCGTTACAGTCTCCGGCGCATCTCTCTCGCAGCGATTGCGAGTCGTGAAATCGTGTCACAATTGATTGAATTTTGTGTGCAAGTCGCAACAGCAAAAATAAATACGGGAAAAAATTAATATTACATATTATTTGTATTTGGCAATAAGGTTTCTTGTGTGCACGCCGGTGCAGATTGCGTCGTTCGCGTCGTCGCGTTGCCGATTTTGTCATCCCTGACAGCATCATTTCGTACGGTTGCCTTTTGTTGGCATCATTGTTATTCTGCCTACGCGTTAATTATTCCTTGCGGCTTTTGGGCAATGCCCAATTCTAAAATTTCGGTTGCGTGACAAATTCGAACACCACAAATCCTACAGCGACAACAATAACAACAACAACAATTGAAAAAAACATAGACGAGTTCGAATTTCGAAAATGCAAACGCGCAGTTTAAAGTCCGAGCAGCGCAGTCGCGCAGGCGCCGGTATAACCGTTACGCTGCTGCTAGCTCTGGCGCTGCTGAAGATCGACGCCGCAGCTGGGAGGCCTGGTATACATACACACATACATGCACAGCATATGCCATTTCGATCTGGATTACGATTTTGATACGATTTCGTGTTCGAATTCGTAACCAATTCGCATAGCCATACGATATTTAATTAGTGTTCGCTTGTAATTTCCTTCTCGCCTTTCGCCTATTTGCGTTTCTGTGTCGTGTTGCTTTCTTGAGATACTTCTTTATACGCATGCTATTTCCATCTATTGGATTTTTATTGTTTTATTGATTTGTTGAAATTTCAAATATCGATTTCGGATTACAATTTATAGTTTTTATTTATTATTTTTGTTGACTTGCGTAATTAAAAATGTGTGCAGTAAAGATGTAAATAATCCATTTCTGATTGATAAAATTGATTAAATTCAATACTGAAATAAATATTTCAGATATATATTAAATATACCTAGATCTCTTTTAAAGGTTCATGGAATTTGTTTTTAATGCACATATTTTTTTAAAAATAGCCCAAAATATTTGTTTAGATTTGTAATCCCTTCCTCTTTATACATAAGCCTAGTTCTATTTTAAGCCTTAACTAACTTTTACTCGTTTCAAATAAGTGTAAATAACAGTATATTGTTGTCCTTTGAGTCTCTATTGGAACTGTCCCGTTAATTATCATCCAATTGTTACTAATTCCCAGCACAAGCACACTTCACTTAACAAACCATAAACGAGCATCTTCTTCTCAACCTGCATACATGGGTATTATGTGTTTCATAAGCATCCAAACTTGGTCATTATATGGGAGCTGCAGTCATCAGCCCAGGAGTTCCTTATAACTCCATATGATTGCCCAATTGTTGTCGCTGCATCTTTGCGGGTTCTCATCGGGCACATCTTCACGGATCTTCATCCCACGGTCAAGCGCCTCAAATTAGCTGACAAATGCCCTCAGATGAAATTCGACACTCTACTGTAAACAAACACATCTCTTCGCCAGAAACCCTACAGATCAGCTTGAGCCAAATCAAGTAGCAGCTAAAAAAAAAACAAAAACATAAACAACGTTCGATGCCCGAAGGCGACTAGGGGTAAACGAAACTCGAGATGAAGCACAAGAAGCCGCCGGCTGCAAACAAGGCCCAGACAATAACAAAAAAAAAAAAACAAAACCCAAAAGACAACAAACCTTATGTAAGTGCCACATGACATGACTGGCAAGGCTTCAGCTTCAGCTTCGGCTTCGTCTTCGACTTGGGTTTGGGTTTGGGTTTCGCTGCCAGGCCAGCTGCCTGGGGAGGACAGAGTTCCGAGTGCGACCTCTGGGAGTGTAGCATCCACTCTTAAAGGCCGTTCATCTTGTGCCTCTGGGGTACACAGCCAGTCCATAAATTGTTATGACAATTTGTTAAGCTTGTTGGCAACAACACGGACACTTTTTTTCTGTAACTCATTTTGGGTCATGGAGCCCAGAAAAGAGGTTAATTGCATTTTAGACACGGACTCTTTAGCAAGACAACAGCCGATAGATATGGGAGTTTTAGCCAAATAGGCGTAAGCTGATTATACAAAGCTTCAGTTCGCGCTTCTAGAACACCTGACTAAGCCGTTCTGACAAGTCCCTGAACTGGGATTAATGTGGATCTGCCTAGACGCGATTTAAACAATCGACTGAATAGTTTGCTAATTGTTTTAACAATTCGCAGAGACTAGCACAAAAGGCTACTTGGCCAGAGGCATGGCCCATGCTTGAATGGCCAATTGAAATGGCGTCGTTTCACGCTCTATTGCCGCACAATAGTTTATAATCAATTTTGTTGTTAAATGGTTTTTCTCTATTCGCTGCCATTCACACGACTTGTCTACAATATATATATATATATATGGGCGATTCGTTAAAGATGCCTGTACGTGATAATTAACAAATTCGCACGGATTTTATTGGCTCGCTTTTGCCTTTGTTGTTGTTGTTGTGCACAATTAGGGTCTGCCATAATGAAACGTTGGCTTATTTTCCGTTTATTGTGATTTATGCTTAAGCTTTTGTTATTTCACTAAAATTTATATAAGCCGCTGCGGACAGCAAATTTCATAATTACCCAAAATCCAAGCACAAAGCTCAGATAGGTATATATATATATATATATGTATATATATGTATATTGTGGCTGACAATCTGCGATGCATCTGAGAGACTTTCTGGGCTAAGTAATGGCTTTTCATTGTTGGCGATAAATAAGTGCAATTTAATCCATATTAAGTCGAGCATTGCATTTGGTTTAAGCCCGAAAACTTTGTATATCTCTAAGCTAGTTGTCGCTAGACCCGAGTTGAACTATAGATTCTATAGCTTTGATAAATGCTCAATGCGGGTTTTCCATCAATTTTGCTGTAACTGGAATATTTAGTAGATATTTAAGCCCCAGTTTGATTTATTTGCTTTTAGTTTCGCTGATTATTATTATTGTTGACGCTTAGCTCAAGTGCAGGTTTCCGTGAGACACGTTTATTGTGGGAATTATTAAACGGATATCATGTAGAAAATAAAGTTTTGTTGTTGTTCTTTTTGGCGCATGATCAGCATGATCTTCGTGTGGGCTGTGCGATATTCAACAGCTCAATAAGTCGATAACTCAAGGCAAGAGATGATACAACGATCGCGGGCTGAGATTAATAAAACGCCAATATATTTTGCTTTTATAGTTTTAGCGAAGGCTGCCCAAAAGACAAAAACTTGTCAAAAAATCAACCAGCAAACTGTAAAACTGGCAAAAAAAAAAAAGACAATGATAAACTTGAAATTATCGCATTGTGTTTTTGTTTATTTCGGTGGGTGCAGATGTCGTGAAGTCGCCAATCAATTAAAAGTTAAATTAAAAATGATGTTCAAATTACAAAAAAAAAAAAAAATAATGCTTAAACAACAAGCGAACATTAATTGGCACTGAACTTGACGGACAAACTAATTTCAAATAGTTTTTCGGGTGTGGAACGAGATCTTGAATTTTCCACTTGGAAGCGAGACAAAGTCTCATTTTTCTCTAGAATTCTTTACTGGTAATTACATCAGATGCAATCTGAGCAGCTTTGCACATTTATTTATTCATTAACTTCGGGTTGCAAACACTTTCCCAGCTTGTGTACGAGGCGTAACCGTAGCCGAATACAATAAAAGTCAACTTGGATATAGTCATATCTGACATTTGTATCTGTACACAATTCATATTTATGAGCTGCAGCTTTGGAGACGTCAGATTGCTTGAGGCACGGAAGGTTCAGGGACTCGAAAAGTTACTTGATAAACGCGCAAAGCATCATTTTTCAGCTAAGGCTGATAAGCAGGCAGTATGTCTATGCTTGATTATTTATTTTAATAACAATATGAATGCGAATAAGCTGACATAAATGAGATAGCAATGAATTGATATGCACATATGCTTAGAAGCCGGAACTTGGCCTATCCGAGTCTTGCTGTTCATCAGAAACTCTCCGTGCTGATCTCTGACTCTATCTCTCTGTCTGTCGCGTACTGTGACTAACTGGCAAAAGCCGCATTCTAAACGCTTTGTTTGTAGAATTCCCCCACATTCTAATTAAATTATTGTATAGATTGCGACTTTTTAATACACGGCAGCTAACTTGATTCACACAGTGCTGCTTATTGGCATCTGATAAAATCTGTATATATATATATATGGGATATTTCAATAACATTGATAAATAATGACAAATAATCGAGAGAATGCTCCAGTCAAGATTGCATATAAAATAGTGTATATATGTTATTTATGCCAAAAGATATTCTGTACCCAGATTCAAGTCATTTACATTGCTATACAGAAGCATAAATATAGGTACTATATAAATAAATATATATATAATTATATATATATATATATTTTTGCGCTATCCAGGAAACCCAAGTGCCATTTACTAGCTTTTTAGTTGAATCTAGTTTCAGTACTGCTCAGTCTGACGCTCAGAATCAATTGAAGTCGCTGAGAACATTTTAAGAAATATATATATATATATGCATATTTACATTTAGCTAGTTAAAGTTAGTTCAATGTGGGCGCGGCTTCGCGATGAATAATATTGGGCTGATCAAGTTTTACTGGTTTAGCTTGCGAGTTCAAGAATAAGCATCCTCATGCCTAATATACATCGATGCATATGCGTCAGCTGCTATTTGTAACAAGCTGTGCCCAGTTATGAAATATTTCGTTAATGAAATCTAACTTATATATTGAAGGGAATACAGGCATGAAATAAAAATACAGTAGTATGCTACTCAGTTGAATTAGACATGCGAGAAGCAGCCATAAAACAATTCGAAATGGTGCGTTGGGCCAGATCCGAGTAGACATTTTGCTTGAAGCTCAGGCAAACAAAAGACTCAGGCAACGAACTTGATTGGCTGTCAATTAAGCACTTGGCACACACACACACAGCAGCGTTTACTTATTGACCCAACTGGCCTGTGCTTGTGTATAAGTGTGTTATGTGTCAACTAAATAACAGCAACAACAACAACAACGTGAGACAACAACAACAACAACAACTGCTACGAAGACACGAAATATATAGGCCATTTAAGCCAATGTCAATCAATCAGCGGCAATGGCAGCCAAATTGCCAAAGAGCCACCCAGGGACTGCCACCACAACTGTCTCATCTTCAGTTCCCAAACAGAGTCGCAGTCGCTCTTCTATGCCTTCTGTTGCCAACACTTTTGAACTCTCTGAAAAGTGCCAGCAAATTGCATCTCTGGCATCTTGTTGCATTTACCATACCACATGACACACTCACATAAACAGCATAAACATTAAACAGCATAGTTTACATACACACACACACACACATACATGCACATATATGTACATTAGTCGCAACCACAAACAACAACAAGAACAACCACAAATTTCCCCCCTTCTCTGCAGATGTTCGGCAATCGCCATTTTCATTAGAATTGCAGCCGCCATTGCTTGAGGCTGCCGCAGACGATGCGTTCAAGGCGGGCGGCGATCGGACCATTGATAGCTATGGCAATCCCATTGATGCACTGCGTCCGATCGACACGCCCGACGGGCGCAAGGTGGTCAGCGCTCAGGGCCTGCAATTCGAGATACCCAATTATGCGTCGGGCATAACCGAGATACGAAAGCCTGCAGATGACCTGCTGCCACCGCACATTGGTGAGTTGACAACAACAACAACAGCAACAACAACAGCAACAACAAAGAGTACGGCAGCAGATGGCAACGCCAGCGGTGCAACAACAGCAACAACAACAACAACAACAACTGCATCCACATTGAGCAAAGGCATAAATCAAGCACGCATCTCACAAGCGGCAATAGCAAGTGTCTTAGTAGCACCGCCTCCACTTAGTAGCATAATTAGCACCACTAGCATAAGCTTTACAGCCACGCCCACATCCATGCCCACGCCCACACCCGCATCCCGCACCCCTTCACCTGTAGTAGAACTAACAAATGCACATTACGACCCCGATTCGAACCATGTCAAGCGCGAATCATCTGCACAGCAATATGTCATTGTACCGGCAAGTGCCAAACATGCACCACCCACCTTTACCCTGCTGACACTCAATCCACAATTCACGCCCGAATCCGCACCCATTAATATAAGAGCCCAAGAGCCCAGACCCAAGCAGAACAGTTCTAAGCGCATTGATAGCATTGCCGCCACATACTCAACTCCAAATCCAACTCCTTCCCAACTAGATGCCATAGCGGTGGCGCTACCCACCTCGGACATCGCCAGCACCGACAACAACACCTCCTCATTAGCACCAGCACCAGCCACATCACTAACACCCCCCAAGCATGAATCATCAACTACCTCAGCGGATGTCTCTGTGGAAGTGGAGCAGGCCCAGCTGATACCCTTGCCCCAGACACAGCAACAGCAACAGCAGCAAGAGGAAAGTGCCCAGGCGCCTCAGCTGACCAGCGGCACCCTGCCCGACTATCTCTTGGAGCTGCAGCAGCAGGATAAGGATATTGGCGGACCTGTGCCCTGGACACCCGCGCCGAATGGTGCGCCCCTTAGTGTGATTGCCTGGGATCTGTTGCCGCCATTCGAAACGCCTCGAGAGCCACAAACCGAACCACAAATCATTACCGAGCAGCAGCCCACAAAGCATGTGGTGGGCGTGGAGCAGCCGGGCAGTCACAACATCCGTGTCAGTCTGAGCAGCGGTCAGGGCCTGTCGCCGGTGGCGCCCGCGCCACTGACGCCGGGTCAAGTGGCTGTTGTGAGCGTGGAGCACGATGGACCCGATCAGCATGGCACCAATGCACACATTGGCAGCACCACGCCACGCAACGGCTCAAGATTTCCCAATCGCCATCGCGGCACGGTCCACTACAGCACAGCCTCAACCACACAGAAGCCGCGCAGTACTTCCACAACCACCGCTGCAACCACCACAGCCATTCCATCAACAACACAGAGAGTGACCCCCACAACAACCACAACTACTACCACCACAACGCCACGCCCACAAACGACACTAGCACCCAGCACGAGCACTACACCTGTGGACCCATCCACCTTCTATAAGCTGGACAATGAGGAGGCCTATGCCTACACTTTGCCACCCTGGCTGCAGGAGGTAACCGATCCGGATCTGGATGTGGCCGTCACCTTTATTGTGCCCACGGACAATGATCAATACAATCACAGCCTGGCCGTGGATCTAGAGCCGCCTTTCGAGCCGTTTGTAGACCTGCACAACATTCAGCTGACACCACCGCCCACTGCGGAGCCAGCCAGCACGCGACCCACACCTACACCAACAAGCACCTCCACAACTACAACGACAACCACGACCACGACAACAACGACTACAAGACGTCCGTTGGCCGTAGCACTACCAACAGCAGCGCGCACCACTAAAGCACCCATTTTGAAAGCACAAACCACTCGGCAACCACAACTGATAACAACCACAATCCACACAGCTCCAGCAAAGACGAGCACGACGCCAGCGGCGCCTGTTGAGCCGAATCCCTTTAACTCGGCTACATTGCCGCCGTGGCTGCAAGATTTCGATTACCCTGATGTGGGTCCCGGCGTGCCCTATAATCCGGACAACTTTAAGGGGACGCCTGTCACAAGTGGCCAGAAACCGGGCGGTACCAAGCCCAATGACTTTCAGCCTCAGGGCTTGCCAGGTAGCCACATTAGATCTCAGTTAACAGAACCAACAACGACATCAACCACCTCAGCGCCAGCTGAAACCGACTCCTCCGCTTTTCCATCCAAAGTCACGCTTCCGCTTCCAGCCATCAGCAGCAGCAGCCACAGCAGCCACAGCCAAGGTGGCCATGAGTCAAACACTGTGGAGCCGCCGCTGGTGCTGATACCGCCTGTCGCCAACAGCGACGAACCATCCTCATTTAGCAGTAGCAGTAGCAGTAGCAGTGGCAGTAGCAGTGGCAGTGGCAGTGACAGTGGCAGCGATTCCAGCAGCCAAACGCCGCCGCCGCCTGCACTCGGCACTGCCTCAGACCTCAACCCTACTACAAACTCATATACGCATTTTACAGCACGCTTCGATACGCCTGCTTCTGGTCAGGAAACGCAAATCTCGGCACAGAGCCTAACGCCTACGGCAACGCCACAAGGCACAGCCGCCGCTGAGGAACAGTTCCCACCATTCAATGGCAATGCGGCAGACAGTCCGAAGGTTGAATACACCAAGAGCGAGGAGGGTAAGGTCATCAGCACACCCGTAAACACGCTGCGCAAGGGTAAGTCTCAGACGGGAATGTTTTTTGAAGCCCAAACTAAACTGAATTATCTCGCAGATGCGCAAGACAATAATGTGCTCCAAGCATCTACGGCCGCATCGCCAGCGGCGGCCAGCAATACGGGCAAGTATACGGGCGGCTTTGGCGCTCCGGCTGGTCTATTGCGTCCACAAAGTGCCGCCAAGCCAGACATCTATGTCGCCGGCAATGAGCATGAGTTCAGCACCAATGTCAAGGCCAACAAGGTGCGTCCGGGCGCTGTGGCCAATGCCAATGGCGGACGCTATACGGGCGGCTTTGGTGCACCCAGCGGCGTGCTCAGTCCCCAGAATGCGCCCAGACCCTTCCAGCAATCGCAACAGCCCCAGCCACAGCCACAGCCCCAACAGACGCAGCCCCAGCTGGCCAGTGCTGCTTCCAGCCATCATCATAACCGCTTTGGTGGACCTCCTGGCGTCCTTGTGCCGTATGACAACGTGCCGCGTGCCGGAGGGCAGTAAGAGCCAATTGGGCGTGGCCTTTTCCATTGCATGCAACTACTGCAAGTACTTTAAATTATTTATAAAGCATGTATGTATGTTAAAGTTATGAAAGTTGAAGTTCTCGATGTATGAATAGTAAAGGCGAATACGAATTTTGTGTCGAAAAGAAAATAAATCATCATATGTTTATGCATACGATCGAGGTATACGTATCTATGTATATATCATGTAAAATGTTATTTACATAATAAACTTTAGAACTATAATATTATTTTCTTTTATTGTGCGTTTTTTCTTTCTCTTGCGTTTTAGGGCAGAGCTTTCACTATATGATGATCGCATCCACATACTGTGATAACTAATATGTTGACAGTTTCATTAAAAAATATCATAAACTGAGGGACCAGATGGACTTTTATAAGTCGTTTCGGCTTGTCACATTAATCAATATCACGAGGCATTCGATTTGAGGAGTCTGCGCGCGTTTTGAAAACTATATAATTTGAGAATTGTCTTTATAATTCCTTTAGACGAATGTAAGAGTATAGTATACATATACGGAAGAGTTTTGAAGCCAGAGCCTGGAAGCTTGGAAGTTTATCCGCGTCATGCAAACACATATAGGTTCACTCCTTCTTGTCGAGTGGAATACTCTATTTAAGCTGCGCCGGTTGAGTCAGCTTGACGTAGCCTAAAGATAAATTAAAGATAAATTAAAAGATAAAGTCCTCAAATTTGCAAAAATAAAATTTGTCGCAAGACCCAGTGTGAATATCAGAGTTTGCAGCATTCATACATAACAAAAATTTAAACTTTAAAAATATGCGCATTATTGGAAGATCATCAAAAATCCATTAAACGTTGCATTGTATTTTATACGCAACTGAAACAACAACAATGAATGTGCGTGACTTTTAGTTTTGAATTAATGTTTGTTAACGGAACTTTAACTTACATTAATTTTGCAGTATATTTTGGAGTCTCTAATGTGCGTACTTTCCAGCTAATGTCTACTTTTAAGCAAAAACACATTTTAAATCTTCCCTTAAACTTTTCAAATTGTATTTTACATATTTTCTTTCCTTTCCTAAAGGAGGAATTGGTGAAGCACTAGTTTCCAGCTGCAAAAGCTTGGGATTGGTTCATGAGTCATTCAGTCACTCGGAAAAAACAGTTTATATGGCAAATTTTGCATTTGCCAAAGTTCTTAATTCTTAAATTTGAATAATAAACAGCTGTGTTTAAAACGAACGCTAGGTGGCCCCACAAAAGCTTTAGGGTTTTTTCACACGAACTGGGAAGCTTTCCGCAGTTTGAAAGCCACTTTAGTTCAATTTTTTGTATAATTCATCATCAAACCACTTGATAGTCAATTATTACGTTTTTAGATAATTAAATTTAAGCCATTATTTAACAGATATTTACAACATTATCAATGAGCTATGATCATTTCTGTCCAAGCTTAACTTACTCAGCATTTTAAACAGCAAACAAATTTTGGCGGGCTTTTGGTGTATAGTTAATGGGTACTGGAAGAGTTGCTATTCGAATACTTTTAAGTCGCGTGAAGTTGGCGGCGGCAACATCGCTGCTGATAAATGCGCGTGCGTCATATAGCATTCAGCTTAATATTGCGGTCAAATTGCCCATGCTTTTGTAGTGGGGTGGGCGTGACGTAAACGTCCTTCATTTGACTTTGAACTCAGCCAAACGCAAACGCTCTATCTGAAGTCGATTTAGTCAGAGCAGTTGCAGTTGATTCCTGACGGGTGAACTGAGCGAAAGTAAAAGTGTGATCCAGGCAAATTAAAAAAAAAAAAGAAAAAAATTAATAATGTCGAAAATTGGTATTAACGGATTTGGCCGCATTGGTCGTCTGGTGCTGCGTGCCGCTATCGACAAAGGCGCCTCCGTCGTTGCCGTAAGTGAAGCCGCCGAGAAGATGTAGTTGGAGTTAGACGTACAAATTGTGTGTATTTGTGTAATTTGCAGGTTAACGATCCCTTCATCGATGTGAACTACATGGTCTACCTGTTCAAGTTCGACTCCACCCACGGCCGTTTCAAGGGCACCGTTGTTGCCGAGGGCGGCTTCCTGGTTGTCAACGGCCAGAAGATCACTGTCTTCAGTGAGCGCGATCCAGCCAACATCAACTGGGCCAGCGCTGGCGCTGAGTACGTGGTTGAGTCGACCGGTGTCTTCACCACCATCGATAAGGCCTCCACTCACTTGAAGGGCGGTGCCAAGAAGGTCATTATCTCGGCACCCTCCGCTGATGCGCCCATGTTCGTGTGCGGCGTGAACTTGGATGCATACAGCCCGGACATGAAGGTCGTGTCGAACGCTTCTTGCACCACCAACTGCTTGGCCCCATTGGCTAAGGTTATCAATGATAACTTTGAGATTATTGAGGGTCTGATGACCACTGTGCATGCCACCACAGCCACCCAGAAGACCGTCGATGGCCCCTCCGGCAAGTTGTGGCGTGATGGTCGTGGTGCTGCCCAAAACATCATTCCAGCATCCACTGGCGCCGCCAAGGCTGTCGGCAAAGTCATTCCAGCTCTGAATGGAAAACTTACCGGCATGGCTTTCCGTGTGCCCACACCAAATGTCTCTGTTGTTGACTTGACCGTGCGCTTGGGCAAGGGTGCCACCTATGATGAAATTAAGGCCAAAGTACAAGAGGCTGCCAACGGTCCATTGAAGGGCATTTTGGGCTATACCGATGAGGAGGTCGTCTCCACCGATTTCCTCAGCGACACTCACTCGTCCGTATTCGATGCCAAGGCCGGCATCCCGCTCAACGACAAGTTCGTTAAGCTGATTTCGTGGTACGACAACGAGTTCGGTTATTCCAACCGTGTCATTGACTTGATCAAGTACATGCAGAGCAAGGATTAAATTATATAAATAGCTGCAGCTAACACAATGTTAACTTCTCAATACGCACAAACAGGAGGTGTAGCATTTAACTATAGATGAGAGGGATCCGATTTTCGCCCACACAACTACACAGTTACCCAATAAAAACACACAACATACATACATACATACATACATACACGCATATACGTTCACTCAGCATATGTACATATGTTTTTACATATGTATGTTTTGTATTGTATTACCAACCGATCTTCTCTCTCCTGTTTGATGAACCGAGCAAAAACAGTTACATAAATTATATAACCTAATCTCGTTACAAATATATAAAAATAAAAACAAAACACAAAACATTACCGCATTTTTAGTACAATTATGAAATCGCCTGTTTGCTGATGCAACTATTGATTTTTTCGCCCAGATGGAGATAAGCAATAGAAATCTGGGTTGACTTTGCTTGCGACTGGAATCATGTCAAGCAAACGGGAAAAATGCATAATTAACTTGATATAAATAGTTGGACCTAGAAGCAAACTTTAACATATATATGTACATATATGTGAACGGCAAAATTCCCATATGTGTATATATATTTACATATGAATATATATAGGCATGTACATGTATATGTATATATATGTATCTACACGCGGACAGAATCTAATTGCTTTGAAACTGCCGGTCTACGAGCATAAATGCCCTTGACATTGAACTTTCCAAAATGATTGCTTTGATCTTATAAATATGTGGCCACTTATTTGTTTAAGGCAGACATGGAAATATAAAAAACCCACGTAAATAAGCTACTCAATAGGAAATAGGTGCAAGATTATATTTGCCGGTCACATTGCATCCAATGTAACAGTGCCATTTTGAGTAAAATTGTATTAAAGTCTCTTAACATTATTTTCGGTAGTAACGAAAAGAGAGAGCACCATACCATGTTACGTTTAATTTTTATGCTAACACAAATCATTCAAACACGAAATGAAAAAAATCTATCAAAGAGAATACATAATTTGAAAAACTCAATTGGTTATCCCACAAAGGCCCTGTTAACCAGCCGGCAAGGTTTTGGTAACTAGTGTTGCCAAATTCGGATAAGCGGTTGACATGTTATCGATAATTTTGAGAAATCAAATGAAATTCAAAAAATCTTAACGGAATGTTATGGCTGCAGCGAGATTTAAACATTAAAATGTACAATGCATTGTATTGTATTCTATAGAAAGTGCGATTTAAATTAAATAATAGTGAATTACAGATATAGTTTAGAAGGGCGCAAAAATTTAAGAAGAAAAGCTTTCTCTAACTCACTAAAAACTATTGAAGTACCAAAGTATATTTTGTTTACTCACAGCGTGATTTATACAGAAATAATAACAATAAGAATTGTATTAGCTTAATAGCTGAAAATGTGACCTGCATTTGGTATTCAATCACAAATCAAAATCACAATTTAGGTACAATAAGATTTTCAAATTTATACTTTTACACCCGCACAATGACATGTAATTTTTTGTACAAATATAAAACAGATTATCCTGGTTGATTGACCGACTGACCACAGAAGCTACCATCAGACAGGGACAAACCCTTTGTTCGAAAAAAGAACATTTCGCTCAAAACCTTGTTTTTCACACAAAGGATATCATAAGCTTGGAGATGTCGATCCCATTAAGTACATATATATTTGGCTGGTAATTGGCAAGAAACAGGCATTAGCTCCTTTTTAAGAATTAACTAAATGTAACTGGGCATTTGCAAGGTAGGAGCCTAATTTGAATAGATAGCCTTGTGCACAGTTCTATGAGAGTAAATAGGAATAGATTCAACAGGTGCCTTTGCGTGCTTTTGGGACAATCTCATCGCATGCCGCCGAGTTCCACCCACAAGCAATCAAGCAATTGAAACGATTGTAATCGTGGTGTTCCCTTTAGAAACGCCTGAATTTGTCAACGGAATTGGAAATGTCGTAAATACAAGCATGCATTAAAGTCTAACCCACATAACGGGGCCCAGGCCAATATTTTCCCATTTCCCATTTTCCCATTAAAACTAAGTTCGTGGAGCTCTCAACTTGAACATATGCAAATATCATAATTCTTCCATCATGTCTGCAACGTCGTAAAAGGAATAAGAAGCAGCTGTCAGTTCGAAGTTGGGCACGGCCCCAGGCAAGGTTCCATAGGCCACAATTTGCTGTGTCTTCTGTTTTGGGGCGGCCTCCTCTTGGGGCGTGGCACATGTAAAGCAACACGGCAGCCGATTGCTTCTGAAACAAAATTGTTTCGGCACGCCGCGAAGGTTGCTGCCACAAGCAAATAGGCGGGAAACACGCAAGGTCTGCAGCGCCTGGTTGGAGGAGTGGGGCTGGGCTGGGGTCTCAGACATCAAAGTTATTTATTTACTCTAAAAACAATACAAGAAAATTAATAGCAATTTGCATAGTTTCATAAATATGTTGCATATGCAATATGTTCCTTGCAAATGAATGCCATTCGGGACAATAAATGGGGTTTCCCCTTTAATGAATGCGACTCATTTGGCGGGCGCCGCTTATTGATTGCCCTCAGCTCGGCTGCGGCCCTTATCAGTCGGCACTTAATTGGCTTTGTTGCGGCATTGTTGTTGCATCATCAGAAAGCCATTAAACAGTTTTAGCCAAAGCAATTTTCTAGGCCACAAATTGTGCTCTTCACGCACCGAAATACGTCAACACGAACAATGTGCGTGTCTTTTGGGCTTCAATTAAAGTTTGTTAACGCAACATTGATTTTTAATTATATTAATTAGGTATTAGGTATGCATATACATATATACATATAGATATATATATATATATCTGCATTGCTATAATTATTAACTTTCATACTTTTGATATATTTGTGTGCTAGGGAATTAAGAAGGGCAGCAAATTGTTGAGATATTAAAACGAGTTTATTGAAGTTTATTGAGACTTGTCAGCACATGCAAGCCAAGTTACAAAAGCCACAACAACCGACAGAAACAACAACAACTTTTGCTAGTCAAGCCAAAAAAGGAAGAAGCACAACAAGAGCACGAGAAAAAGGCGCCTAGAAAAATATGAAAGAGGAGCAAACTGTTTAGTTGGAAATCGACGATTGAGCTGAGCACACGGTCAAAGGATATTTTCATATCCTTGTATCTGATATACGGAAACTGGTACTGAACTTCTTATAACATGCTAAGAGACAAGCATACAATACTCCAATAAAGAAAAAAGTAAAATTCGAAATTCGTGATGTGAATGAAACAAAGGGAAACAAATAACAAAGAAAAGTTCAAGTACTCGACATAAAACTTGTAATTAATTAAAAATCTTTCGTACTCTTGAGTGACACAAACAAAGATTTAGCTCGGTTTGATTCGGTTTACGGTTCAAACCAACTTATAGCAAGCTTATCCAAGCTTTAGATTAAACCTTGCATTGCCATATTTTAAAAATTTAATTATACATCCGTCTGTTTGAGGCAGAACATAATTTCATATACGAGATGCGCGCTAAATTTGATCTCTACAGAAAGTGGTCAAAGTTAATTATGCCTTAAGGATCGGTCTGTCTCAACACCTGTTTATTTTTAAATAAATATTTGACATTCCGTCTTTTTTTTTTTTTGATAATTGGCTTGGTTTATAGTAAACAACTTGCATCCTAAAATGCACATCTATTTCAGATAAAGAGCTTCGTTTAAGCAACTTATAAATAATGCCACGAAAAAAGCAAAAGGTGGACACCATCGAGGAAATCGAAACTACCATAAAACTGCTCTGCGATCAGTCCAACAATCACATGAAAGTCCGCGAACACTACAAGGCTTTAACTGGCTATAATCAGGTAAATATAGTTTTTGTGCGAAAAGCTGACATCTATTTACGGTATTTGAACGCAACGGTTGCACCTTGAAACGAACACTAGATGGCGCCAAAAGCTCTCAGGAAGCTTTCCTCGTACGCGGTGCGAATACTCTGAGTGCATTTAAAAGCTTTAACGGCCACTATTGAGTAATAAATATATTTATAATATAGTATATATATAATTACTATATATTTATAATAGAAATATAATATATAATTTAGTAATAAATATATTTATTTATTACTGAATGAACGGCCACGTACAAGGAGTCCTTTAACGGAAAACTATACGTTGTAATCTTCCCCGATAAAATAGAGTTAAAATTTTGTTATGGACTATGAATATTTTTATATATATAAAGGCCCCAAGTTTCTTGTGCTTAGGAAAAAGATAATATTTTAAGGACTAACTAGAGGGCTTGACCTGATTCCAAAATTAATACAGAAATAGCCCATATTTCCAAAATCACAACTTAACCTAGCCAAATTATTAAGATTATTATTCATTCTAATCAAATCGTAATGATGACAATTGTTAAAACTGACTTCAAAGATCTTTGTGTAAATAAATTGTAAATTGAATGAGCTCGGTTTTAGAAAATTCACCCCCAATGTCAAAGACTGTACGGCCGGCGGTTCATGTTTCTACTGTCAAAACTCTATACCACAAGAAACTAAATACGTGTTTCTTCAATCGTTAAGAACGCAAAATAGTATTTATTGCTATATTATCTTTTCACCTGGTTGACTTTAAAATCACTTTAAAAAATCTATGTAAAATGTTTTCGGAACCATGTTTCATTTACTCCAAACTCTACTGGATTCAAATGTCAAGATCAAGATTAGAAATTCTTATAAAGTTTAAAGAAAAATCTTCACCCGAGCAAAGTAGCAATATTTACAATGCTTTTGCGATTCTACAATACGTCTAGTGTAAAATAAAGAAGATTCTTCTTTAAAGGCAATTAACTAGTCAACACCTTGAAGGTCAGTCAACCATTCAGCTCGGCCTGGCCATGCATAATGCTATTGATTGATTGTTTGTTATCGATTGTTGGCCCAGATATAGTTGGCCTCAGTCTCCTGGCAACAGGGCAAATGGCAAATCAATTACCGTTTGTTTGGAACAAAGGTGTGAATTTTTCACACTTGCTCGCAGTGAATTTATCCAACTGCCTGCTAATTAGTTGTTAAAACAATGTCCACAAGTGTGTTGAATACCATTTTGGCTGTTGATAAGGAGCAGGAGCTGTTGCAGAGCTTCATACGCACGGGAGCTAATGCGGACGAAGAATCTTTGGATGAATCCCATAAAAGGTCAAAGGGTCGGGGTCGGGGTCGTGCCGCACACAAGCCGCCCATTTGGGAGCGACGCGACTCGTATGGCCCTGGTGGCAAATCCTCGACTGAGCGCGGAGCTCGCGGAGCTAGTAAACATCCGGACGATTTGGATGCAAGCGGATCGAAGCGTGGAAATCGCATCGAAGCAGAGCTGCGGGCGGCACGTAAACGCATTGAGGAACAGATGATGAAGAAGAAGAAGCCCAAGGAGAACTTTGTGGACTTCTACACGGACAAGGATCGCGCGGCGGCTGTCAGCGCAGGCGCATTCGACATCAAGCAAAGCCTGCAAATAAAGCAGAAGCAGGATCGTAACGAGGCGCTGCTAATACCCGACGAGGCGGACATCAGCTCCATCATTGCGCTGGGACTGAAGGAGATTAAAAATGCGAATCCTGAAAATGCCATACATTTCTTTTGCAAGGTTTAAAAAAATGACTCACCTTCAAACGGCCCATGCACCCAAATTCTGCCTTACATAACGATAACGAGACTTCCTTGTACTTGCAGGCCCTGGAGCTGAACAGTACGGACATCAATGCCTTAATCTCCCGCAGCAAATGCTATCTTCTTCTGGGCGAGCCCTCGAGGGCGCTGCAGGATGCCGAGACGGCGCTTGGGGAGGATAAGAATAATATACGCGCCATATACCAAAAGGCCGAGTCTCTCTATTACCTGGGCCAGTTCGAGCAGAGTCTTATGTTCTTCCATCGCGGACTGCGCGCACGCCCCGAACTCGACTTGTTTCGCCTAGGTGTGCAGAAAACTCAGGAAGCCATTGAGAATACCATAGGCACAAAAACGCGATCCGCCCAGCCTTTGGCAGCTGCTAAGAACAGCGTGTCGCGCAAGTCCGGTGATAACACGCCCAAGTCCCAGACGCTGAACAGCTCGCGGCCACAGGTGGGACGCCAGAAGCCGACAAAGGCGGATCTGGAGCGTCGCAATGCACGCAAGCTGCTGGGCGAGCTGTGCGTGGACAAGGAGTACCTAGAGAAGCTTCTGCTGCATCCGGATCTGGTGCGCGCCGACACCAACACAGAGAACATATCTGCCTTGGCCAAGGAGGCTGTTTGTTTCCTCAACAAACGTCAGGAATTCTGGCGACAGCAACGACCCTGCACGGCTTTGCCAAATCACAAAAATCTTCCCAATGATGCAATTCCCAAATGGTTCTAATCCAAGCCACATTCGCTAGTAGAAGAATAAGTGTTAAGTTTTTGTTTTGCTTGACTTGAATAAACAATAATAAGCATTATTAAACATTAAGTTGGTTTTAGCATACGACGATTGTAATTGTTTGCAGTCAACACTTTAGTTTGTATTATATATGCATCATATTTATTAATTTATTTATCGATTGGATGATTAAACATTTATACAACTTCATATTTCTGTAACATCAACATTATTTTAACATAGTTTGCATTTTTCTTTGATATTGTTTTCGTATATGTATGTGCATTAACTTCGTCCGATTAAAGTCTAATGCAATAAATAGTTGTACAGTTCAACTCATTGTAGTTTCAACACTTTAGCTAGTATCTTTATATGTGAAAGGTTTTTCCATAGTTTTAACTATTATTATTATTTCTGTTTTTGTTGCCTTTTTTGAAGCAAACTCTGATAACAAATGATATAAGTTATAATATTGCGAGCTCTCATCGTTGAAGCTGTAACAACAACTCATAAAAGTTTCATTATTTGCTTTTTGTTCTTTGTTTATACTTTCAGCTAAACCTTTTCTTTTATTTTTAATTTGACTAGTACGGCTACAAATGTTTAAACATGTACAGACATGTGTAAATTTAATTTAATACTTTATTATGTTTTATTTTGTTTTGTTTAGATTGCTCGCTATCAATAACATAAATACGTAAATACTTATTTATTTGGTGCATTAGTGAGTACGTCCGCCCAGTGTGTTGGTTAAGTAATAAAGCGTGTTAATATAACAGAAACAGAACATTCGATTTTAAAGCAACTAACCAAGCTTTGTTTGATTTACAATCATTTCTTTATGCCTATTGCATGCATATGTTGCCAATTCGGTTATTATTATTGCCTGGGAACTCTTTAGCATAAACACTTTAGATAAATGATATCTACAATACAATTGGCAAAAAATATATATTCTTATAATAAGTTATGCGACTTCCATAGATAAATACAACAACTCGGAATGTAATAGAGTGGACTGCAATCAATATTAAGTGCTAGACTGTGTGCTGTAAGTAAAAAGAGAATATATATATATATATATTCAATCAAATCAGGTAAACATATCTTGTTGATAGGCAATTCTATTCCACATCATTGACTTTTTTCCAATTTATTTAATATTGTTTCTTTTGTGAAGAACGGAAAAGAATCTAAAATCTTCCATACAAATGTGTGCTAATTTACATATGCATGCACATTTATAATTCACAATTGACCATTTGGCCAGTTGCTTATTAACTGAAAAAATGTCTATTATTTTCGACTACCCGACGTATCTGTAAACGGGCCCAAAACTAGTCCACACACAGCCTCCCATATGGTCTAGTGGCTAGGATATCTGGCTTTCACCCAGAAGGCCCGGGTTCGATTCCCGGTATGGGAAGTAATTTTTTTGTATTTTGTAGTAAATTATACATTTTCGGTTTTACGCTTACCCCTTGGCATCCTGCTTAGTTGTTTGTGGGCCGTGTAGGTAGCGGCGGCGCATTGCCACTGCGATTTGGTATTGGCGGAGGTCCACGACGATTGGGCAGCGGTGGTGGTGGACCCAGTGGAGCAGCTCCTGTGGGCATTGGCTGCCGTCGTGGACTATCAACAGCACAAATAACTGGCGGCGGAGCTGCTGGCGGCGGATGACGTGGAGCCGGAACATCATCTTGTATCTCCTCATATATATTGCTGGCCGTTTCATAAACGGTATCTGGCGAAGGTTGCTCCAGGGAAGCTTGCTTGGACTGCCGCGTGGGCGTTGACACGGGCGTTGCTTGTTTGCTCTGCATCTGGCGCGGTGGCGTAGGTGGTCCAGAGGGTAGTGCAGCGGCTGTGGGTGAAGCTTTGCCAGAGGATGAGTTTGATGAGCTCACAGACGTAGCATGTAGCGGCGAACCCAGCTCCGTGGGTGACTGTGATTTGGATGAAGGCGTAGTATCACCCACCATGGCGGGCGGTCGCGGTGGCGCAACCTGAACTGGTTGCAATGGCGTCTGCATGGGCTGTGGCGGCATCGGGGGCTTATTGGGCTTCGGCACAATGCTAATGACACCCGCGTGAGGCAGATGACGTGGCGAGTTCTTTGGTGACATAGGCATAGGTGGACGCGCTGGCGCCGGACGTGTCGGTGGCTGCTTGGGCCGTTGTGGCACCTCTGGCGTCAACTGCATCAGCTGTGCCTGCTCTGCAGGATTTGAGCACAGCGGTATGGTGTTGGAGGTGCATAGTTCGATTTCATTGTCCACCTGTTGTGGCCAGTCGGGCGTCTTTAGCTCGAAGACCAGTTCTAAGCCGCAGACCTCTGTGCTCCGCTTGGCGGCCGCATTGAGCGCCGATTCCCCATTGCGGAAGGTTACCCACATGGTATCCTCGACATATCGCACCAAGGTTACCTCGCCCATTTTTGAGAGCTCGGCTATGAGCGCTGCCATTACATGCTCATCGTAAATGGTTGGCCCATCCTCATCTGCATCCGCAGACTGCTCGTGCACATGTACCACAATGGTAGAGTCAGGTGGTCCCAGATCTCGAATGACCTGATCGAAGACAACACGCCTGCGCTGCTGATCGATTTCCATTATCTCAGCATCGATGATGGCAATGACGGGTCGATGATCGCTCTGCTTTAGCTCTGAGCGTCCGTAATGTATAAGCTTGCCAGGGTTCCATGCAGCTGCGCCGACGCCACCGAAATCGCTTTCGGCCAGGGCTTTGCGCCGACGCCAGAGCACGCGATCTGTCCAGGCTGGCGCACGCTGTTTCTCCGAGGTGTCGTAGTCATCGCTGAACAGATCGTACTTATAGGTCGGATCAAAGGTGATTTCACCCTCAAGAAACTCGGAGAACACATTGCCAGCTTCCTGTTCCTTGCGCAGCTGATCGAACTCTAGCACCGTGGACAGCTCTCCATTTCGCACGCACTCCTTCAGCTCATCCTTGTCCATGTCAATGCGATAGTTGAAATCGCCGCACCAGAACACCCAGTCATGCGATTTTAGCGTGCGGCCCATGGGAAATGCCAATTTCCGTGTGATTTCCGCATAGTCGGCGTTACGTTCAGCCACTTGCGATTGGCCTGCAGCAAAATGGGCGCACACAAAGCACATGGAGCTACCGTGCAGGACAAATCGAATTGCGCAGGCACCCTTATTGCCAGTTGCACCACCCAAACCAGTTTTCACACAGTCAATGGCCACGTCACGTATGTGGGGCGCATGCTCCGGCCTTATATAGATGTACAGGCAGACCCCCACCAGCTGCTGATAGGTTAGCAGGACGTAGTCGTTGTCCCGCGAAATGGTCTTCTGGAGTTCCTCGGCCCACAGTTTGGCATTGTCTGTGCTGGCTGCCATTATATTCGATGCATTCAGATCGACTATCTCCTCGAAGCCGATGGCATAGATGTCCACGGGATGGTCAACATGTTCCGATGGATTGTTGACATCCACCAGCGCCTTGGAGCGAGCTAACGCATGACAGTCTAGCAACCAATCCGCCAGCGAGTCCTTGAACACAATGCTGCGAAAATGTTTGCCGCCATTCACGTTATATGTGCCCACAGCAACGCGCGCCATCCGGGGACGGACATACTCCGTGTATCTCTTGCAAAGCTCCCGCAGCGTAGTTGTGGGCGCGTGCAACATATTGGAGGGCAGCAGTATACGCGCACGATCTGCCAGCTCCGAGCTGAGTGTCGAGCCCACGAGAAGAACATCGATTGCTTCCTGCAAAGCATAAATGGGGACATAATTAACGGTTTGCTTTTGTACGTAATCATAATATTATCTATATATATCAAACTGATTGTCGATTTTTCTTGACTTTTGAAATTTTCCACCAACCTGTTTGGAGTTATCCAAGAGATTGTTTTGAATAGTGCGTGCCGCAGAGCGCGCACCGTCCATCAGCTTTGAGCCGCCCTGTATGGCGCCGGTGCCAGCATAGATTTTGCTGACCTCATTGCCATTATTGATCCACATCTGACGAAATATTTCCTCGAAACGCGAAATGTTCTGCTGCTTACCGCCCAGTTTGAGGGCCTCCAGCTGCAGATTGAGTGTGTCCAGGCCCAGATACGTCTGCACACAATTTGTGCGATCCAAGCAATCGAGGCAGTTGGTGCGCACGACGCCAAATTGTTCGCGTAACACCTGTCCGTTAGTGGCATGGAATATGCCATAATTGGCGCCGCAGGCTACCATGCGTTCCTTGAGCTTGGCCAGCGCCGAGAAGTTTCCGCCGCGGCACTCCTGATGGTAGTCGAAGACCACGTGCGGCACATCCTTGTGTGCTGACATGCCATGATGACGCTGGAACTCGTTGCTCAGCATCGCCTCGCCCTCTTTGCTGCCAATCATGGAGCTGCCAAGCAGGTTAACAATCGTCTGGTAGCCATAGCGTTGCCGCATCATGCTCATGTGGCGATCAAAGGCAGCCGCAGAGGTTTCAAATCCACGCGAGAGCTTTACCTTGTGTGAGCCCACCTGAACGCCCGGCTGCTCCCAGAAGAGCGGTACTGAGCCACGCGTCTGTACATGGCTGGTGACGTCGCCGTCCACGTAGATAACCTGTTCCGTCTCTACAAAGTTGGCCACGTAGCCCTCGTCGTTGGTGCCTCTCACATTGAAACGCGTGCCCGCACGCTCGCAGCTCAGCCGGGATATGATAGCAGCGCGCGCCTGTTTGGCACCTATGTAAACGGTGCGCACCTCCACTGAGCCACACATGGTTTGCAGCAGCCAGGACTGGCAGTCAATGCCGAATCGCATAAGGTGTATGTGCATCATGCGGTTCCAAAAGAAACGATTGTCCGTCTCCGCCGTCTGGTGACGTCGCTGTGCGCACAGCGTAATGTCAAACTTGCTGCTGTGCGCAGCTCCAACTGCTGCCCCACCGCCGGCGGCCGATGGATTCGAGTGTGCGAAATAAAAGGTGCCCGAGTTGAGCAGCTTACGCACCTCGCTAATTTTGTCCTCGTTGAGCACTGCATTCTGCAGCGACACAAATGTTGTCTGCGTTATGCGAAAAATTTCCACATCGCCAATTTTGCCCATGGACACGCAGCCGGTGACAAGTACCAGGAAGAGTACTGTGCTCTCGCCAGCATTCAGCTGAAGTGCGCCCAAACAGCCATATGCATCGCACACCTGTAGGAATGTAGGAATGCAAAAAAGGTGTTTCTTATGAAAACATATTGGCAATCTTATCAGGAGAATGTATATTCTAGTTGTAAAAACATATCTACTTAATAGAATTATTCAAGCTAAACAAAAACAAACTGTTTTTCATCAAATTTTTTCTTAGTCGAAACTTCTTTTAGATCCTTGGTAAATGCACTACAAAAATTGCATAACCTCAAGGAGTACATGAAGGGAGGACTATACATACCCTACTATATTCTGCAAAAGAAATAAATGGGTGGGATTTAGGCAAACTTTACCCAAATGCTGTCAAGTCAGCTTTTGTTATAAATATCCGATTTTATTTCCCCTAGTATATTAGGAACTTTTTCTTTTTACTGAAATTCATTCTAATTTCTCCGTATTTAAGAGCCTCCCACTTATGGACTTACAAATAGAGTTTCCCATGGAAAAAGTCTAATCAATCTCTGGTTAAAAAAATTAAGAGTTATTCTTTTAAAAAGAGTAGATACTTATTGATTAATGTACCATATCGATTTATATAATTTAACAAGCGCAAGAAGAACATCTATACCAAATGTGACGTCATCTCGAGTTTGCATTTATAAGATGCACAAGACTAGATCGTATCGGTAACTGAAGCTGATCAGGAATATACATCTATCAGCATAAATATGCACATATAGTGTCATGGGTGGAGGCTCCAAGAGATGAAATTATATTATAACGAGCGGATATCATACACACCTTCGTGTACTGCTTGCGTATGACATTCTCCTGCTGCGTAAGAAGCGCACAAACATGAGATTCGAAGAGGATGCAGTCGGTCTTGTTGCGATGCTCCAGTAAAACGCTATGGGGAGAGGGCGCTATTGACTTTTCCAGCACGCGTATTACCTTGGACATCGCCATCGTTCCACTGCCGATCTACGTTGCTTGCCTGTTGTGGATGAACTGAATTTGACTGGCTTTAAGCACTTGAACGCCGCTTCAGCAGCGGCCAGAGCATCTGCAAGTAAACAAAACCATTTGAAATTTGCATTGTAAGCTCTTTGTGTACATTAATAAAGACAAATATGCATATAATAATTATCCAAAGCTGATGAGGCGTGCTAAAAATCAACAGGCAAGCATTAAATATAAAATAAACAATTACAAACAGGCATTGGCCAAGAATTTTTCAATACGCCCCCGACACAATCGCCGCCAGCTGGTGCACGCATACATACATACATATTCACATCTATTTACATGTGCACACACACATGTTCATAAGTGCCGTTGGCTGATAAAACTGTATAGATTTTTCACATGCCAAAACTGTGCGAAGCTTTTAAACATTTGTTATTTCCCGGTGTTTAACAACACACCACGATACTAGAATGTCATTTTATATAGTTGCATTTATTTTTAATAACTTTTGTTGGGCTCTTTTGATAAGCAATACCTCTTTTTCGACAAATTAATTGCAATTTTAGTAGTTGTATTGAATCGTTCGGAATAAGTTCAATCAAACGACTCCCTGAACTAGCGAGCTGATCGAATGAACCGACTCCCTGGATTCGTTCATCTAGTTCAGATTCGCACCAACAGTTTTCTGTTATTGCCGCTGTTTACTTTTAAAAAACACTGGCCTAAAGCTGACTAACTTTGGCGAAAAATATAAATAATAATGATTACATAAATATAATAAACGGTTTTTGTGTCTGCACGGGGAACTAATTGATATAATGGATATAACAATAGCATAATAGTTGCCCCCAAAAAAGATATAGAGTGCAAAACACATTGGAATAACTTGAAAATGTTTAACATTTACATAAATGTTTCATTTAAGATCTGTTATGTAAATGTAAATGTAGTATTTTAATTAAATTTGTTTATATTTGCAAACGAAAAAAAATTATGAAATAAAATAAATATGCTGTGAGAGATATAAATAGGTTAGACGACCAGAACAAATACTTGGTTCTGGATGTCTTAGACAATATTAGGAACACACGACGCTTAAAAGGGTTACATGTGCTGGATGATCTACAAAATGGACTAAATTAATCTTAAATAAACAATCTATTCGGTAAAATACATTGATTGAACCCTGTATTAAAAACAAGTAGTAAGAAACTAGTGTTCTCTTAAGAAGACAGATTACAAATAAAAAAAACGAAGGAGTTAAAAAAATTGATCTTTAAAAGGAAATGTAAAAGTTCTCATATCGTTGAAACAATTTTAAAGCTTTGAGTTAAAAAAAAAACGATTTTACTATACTTGTGATTCAAATACAAGAGCTCTTCCATCGTGAATGTTTAATGCCAATCGAATGTTATCGGCTCATTCATTGACAAAAGCCCGCAAGAAATGTCAAATTTGAATTCGATAACTATTTTATTTATTACCTTAGATTGTTGAATGCACTTGAGATAACAAGGCTATTTATAAATCGCTGGAATCTGCAAGATATGGTTAGAAGCGTCTAAAAAGCAGCGTGGACTTTGTTCAGTTTGTAATCGTCATGCGAAGATATTTACTTTGATAAAATATTTTAAATTTGTATATGCTATCTTAATTCGTAATGATATCTAAGTCCCCTCGATTTTGTTTACTAAATCGCAAAACCCATTCATTTTCGTAGATAAGAGAAATGCGCAAACTTCTAGAACATGATATACCGGATAAGAGCGGCAGTTTGTTTGCCGAATGGGCCGACAATTTTTACAGAATTCGCATCAGACATTGCGTTCCAAAACGTACATCAAGCATAGATAATTTCAGTACATGTGTTAATTATTAATTAGGCTCTTTGATCGGCACACTCAATTTATGAGAAATTATAAGGCTAACAGCGACAATTGCTGGCCAATAAATCATGGAACCTCCATGCTGAATCCGGGCGCAAACATAATCAAACGATCCACACCAAATGTGAAGACACATGACTCACCGTTATAATGATTACGCCTTATCAGACTAGGCTCATTTATTTAAAAAAAAAAAAAACAATGCACCGTTCGCACTCGTGAATGAAAATAACGGCGCCACGAAGTATGTAAACATGTATGTATGCATGCATGCATGTAAGCATGTATGCATGTATGGTATGCATGTAAGTATATATGTGTGTATGTATGCATGTATGCATGCACGCATGTATGGATAAGCATTAAGGGCGAATAAATATAAATAAAAGAATCGTATTTAATACTTGTAGGCGTATTGGTTGGTCAAGTTTCAATCTTGTTTATTTATTTACTATTTACAATTATACTTATTTTACGCATGTGTCTAATGTGCTACTTTTTGATTGACTTTTCCCTTTATTCAGTAAACCAAACAAAGGCTCGAAAAGTAAAAACAAGTATATCTCTGAACACATACAAAGTCTCATCCGAATTACTTTTTAAATCAAAAAATAAAACTGTCGCCATTTAAACACATATATATTACGTAAGACGAATTACTTAATAGCTACGGTATTAAGCAGGTCAAAAGGTCAGTAAATATTTTGATTCACATTTATTTTAGTTTGTGGTTTTAGAAAAACCTCAGATTACCATTATCCTATTATAAATAATTGCGCTTGGTTATTGATACTGCGTATGAATAGATCCTTGTAAGTATATCTTATTTAGAATTCAATTATTTGTATTAAATGTCTGCCCCTGCTAGCAGCTCTTATATCAGACTAGAACAATTGAAACGTACTTTGATAAGATATTTAATTTTATAGATAGCAATATATTAATTTATGTACATACACATGTATGATCACAAGTGGAAATAAAACTTCCCAGGTTCCTGAAAAATAATTTACAATGGTGAGAATAGTTTTCTATACATGCAAGTATACATCATGTATGCAATGTGGCAAGGGCATTTAACTAGTAAATAAATTTCTAAATGCACTCAAAAAAAAAAAAAAAACAAAACATAACACTAAGTTTGCTTAGGAAATGACTGATCCATACTTAGTACGAATACCCTATGAATGTGCAAGCATGTATCCATGTGCAATACATACATATATACTAACATATTTGCTCCCTCCTAAACCCTCATAGATGTCATAAAACATAGAAGGAGACCTCTCCGATCCCATTAGGTATACTTATTCTTGGTCGGTAACAACATCTCGGATCGGACACGACATCATAAAGCTGCCGAAAATTGAATTCTCTTTTGTTTCTCAAGATATGTCGACTAATTGCCATTGATTAGGTTTACTTACATATAGGTATCATTCCATCGGACAAATATAATGTATGAATCGGTCAAAAAACGTTTTTACTATGAAAAAATGTTCGTGTTTCCAAGATATCTGCAAAACTGTAAACTATAATGCTACGAGGGTATTTAATATTCGGCGTTGCCGAAGTTAGCCGGTCTTTCTTGTTTTAATCTCTCTTACTTAATTTATTTGTAAACCTAAGGCGCCTGAACTGAATCAGTAGACCGCCTTTCCTTCACGTTTCCATTCTCTGTGCTTTGCAACTGATATGGCTCTCTAATCTGTATACTCGCAATTTATAAATATGTTCTTGTGTTGTTGTTGCCGAGCGCGTGTCTGTTTGTTTTTAGTGTATACACGCACTCGTATACACTTATTAATATTATTATGTTCAATACTTGGCGGGCCCTGAGATAGAGATAAGATTCATTCGCATTTATTACGACAAAAGCTTTTATTCTCGATCCCAGACCCCGCAAGATGTGATGCTAAAGTTGACTCAGCGTTCGCTGAGAAATTTCTACATTTTTCCCTTAAGCGTTTCACGTACAATTAAATTCTAGCTTAATATGGATAATACTAGGTTTCTTGGCGGCGAGGGCAAGGGTCTACAGACGGCAGAGTGCGCTCATAGCAAAAGTATGTTCAGCATAATTAAAAGAATTTACACGACTTTTGAGCCCACATCAAATGTGCGGCAAGGCAACGCCCCCCTCCAATGACTGTCAAATGTGTGATAACAAGTGCGCATTGTGACTCATCTGAAGTGTGAGAACTATAACCTGGCGATCATAGATAGGCAAAAAGAAAAGCCCATTGAACTGACTCATTAACAATAGATTCACTTTTATCATTAAAAAAAATATATAGAGAACGAAATGTAATTACATGAATGACAAATGATCAAAAGTAAAAATAAACTCGATTATAATTAAAATTATATTTATTCGATGGCGGTTTAGCGAAGCATATATACAGAGCACGAAGCAGGGGGCAAAAGATATATATGGTAAATCAAAGAAGAAGAAAAAAGACAGCATACTGTTTCGCTTAGAAATAATAAATAGCTAATTATAATTACGATAATCGATTCCAAAATAACAATAACAAAATCTAACTAACCTATGCATACATACTCTCTCAGCTCAATCTCAGACTAACTAAATACAAATATACAAACTGTCGCAACTTAGAACTTATCTTACGGATCTCTACAGATAGACGTATGGCTATTTAAAGCAAAACTGTCAACTTAATTTAAAGTTGCTAGCGTTAAAGCTTGATGTTGCCAAAGAGCAGAGTACTCAGGCGCAGACTTAATGCTGGGTCCTGGATCCTGTGTAAGCCTAAGGCCGATTTTAGACAAGCAAAGCAGAGTTTAGTCTGTGCGCCCGATCACTTATCTTAAGACTTAATTTCTTTAAGTTTTTATAGTGACTAAGGGTTTAGCTAGTAATAATACTACTACCATCAACTGTAGCTCAAAACGCAGTCCGCTGAGTCGCTCACAAAAGTACAAATTATGCATATAACAAACAAATTCTAACTAGCTGCTGCTACGAGATCAGCAGTCGCTGCTTAGCTGCGGCCAGCCCCGCTCCCATCGTCGTATTTGTTGTCGCCAACAACGTGGGCGCCGGCTGCAGCGGCGCTGTGAGAGAATCGGACGCGGGTGGGTTGAGCGGTAGTTCGTAGGCCATGCCGCCCCAGTGCAGCTTGAAGGTGCGCGTGCGCCAGCGTATGGCGGGATTCCAGAGCGCGTGCAGGAACAGATAGGGGCCGGAGAGCTCCCTGAACAGCCAGCCGATGACAAACTCGAATTTGTGGAACGGCATCGAGCCATGCTGCACAATGGACAGCAGCAGCCAGTCGGACAGAAACCAGCACAAGACATGCACCAAGTAAAACACCAGCGGATCCCAGGCGAATAGCAGCGATGCCGACCAGGCGGCCAGTGCGCCCAGCAGCATGCATTCCGACAGCGGCTCCAGCAGGATCGTGGTCGGCACCATGGCGACACGCAGCTTGGCCCATCGTATGAGTCGCGCCTAGAAGTAAAATAACAAATTATAGCAACCAATCTATGTCAATGCAATCAACAAATTAATTAAATTATATTTAACTGATCCGACTAGCATATGCAACCAACGCTTCGTGACTTATTTCCATATGTTTCCGACAGCTGCCGCTTGCAGCTGGTGGGTTAATCAGTTCGTGTGGCTGTTGCTCAGACAAAAGTCGCACAAAATTTGGATGTTATGACCTATGGGAAGGTAAAGTGAGTGCTGCCGCACTGCAAAGTCGTCTACTCGATCAATAATAAGTAGCAAGTGGTCGATTTGTAGCTGAACTCGACACTTGTTGATCCGTTTAAAAGTGAATTAAGAATAAAATTCTACTATAAAAAATTGATTGTCTTCTTTTGCGTTATTTTTCTTCAGTCCAAGCCTTTGAATAATCTGCACAAATCAGTTCATCACTTGAAATCTGACTCTGTATCGGGCAGAGTTGTGTATTGGGTATTGTATGTATATACATTAGTTTGAAGTCCCTCATTACGCTGAGTTATGTGAGGCATAGTATTAAGTTACAATAAACTGTAGAGTTGACTATTTTACTCAAGGGTAGAGTGTCATCTAGACAAATAATTGTCTTTTGCTATTGTTCGTCGGAATATATTTCATGCAATCAATATGCATTCAAGTTAAAGATCTCTCGAAAACCCTTTTAACTAATTCAGGGGCTAATTAATGTAATCATGTTGTATTTATAGGATGCCTGCGATTATTCTTTAAACTTTTTTAAGTATTCCCGTTTCAGTGTGAATTTGTGGGGGGCAGTAATCTTGTAGGCCTTAGTAACCAGGCCTTACGTTGTAGAACTAATATAACCATAAAAATAATATTTTGATTATTATTTTGTGCGAGCCGAACTAGTCTTGATTATTGAGAGATTGCTGTTTGTTCCATTCAAGAGAAAGTGCTCGTTTTCCGACCTCCTAATCGAACATACCTATCGCTAATTGGTTCGGAAATCATTTTGGCATTATTATCGCCCCTTGGAGCACGTTCATAGCTTCAATTAGTGGAAAGTTCTGCCCTGCGCTTTGAGCGGCTTTGATTGTCAAGTGTTTTGTTTTTGTAAATCGACGAAAATTACTTCAAAGAGCACATGGAAAACAGGGAAAGGTAACTCTCGTTATAATACTAAGCAAGGATTATAAACGGGAAGGGGATGCTATATATATGCAAAACAAATTTTATTAAAAATAAATGGAAACCTACCTGAAAGCTTCCAATATCGCATATGCCGCTGTTTTGCAGGGCGGGCTGGTTGGATATGCGCATCTTCCAACCTAGTTCTGTGACGCGCTTGGCAATGAAGAAATCCTCGGCCAGATAGCAGCCGAAGGCGCGTAGCCCGCCCAGCTGATCGATGACTGCCTTCCGCAGCAGACACGACATGCCCGTGTGGCAGTTGATGCCCAGCACATCGGCGGACAGGTAAATCCTCGACTGCACCGTGCCGAAGAAGATCTTCTCGAAGGTGGCCGCGAAGCCCTCACGGTCGCTGGTGAAGGGCATTTGGTGCACAAGGGCGTGTCGCTCGGACATATTCTGGACCATGTCCAGGAGCGTGTCGTTCTTCATCTTGATGCCGCTGTCCGAGATCATGACGAAGTCATATTTTGCCGCCATATAGCCGGGATGGATGTTGTTAATTTTAGGATTGACGCCCACATCGGAGCCGCCCACAAAGAGCTGGGCATCTATCTGCGGGTACTTGTCCAGCAGCTGCTCCACCAGCTTTATGGCTGGGTCGTGCTTTTCCTCCACGCAAAATAGCAGCTCGTATAGCGGATAGTCCATGGTAAAGAAAGTTTCCAAGTTGTGCTGCAAATTCGGATCCACGCCCATCAGTGGCTTCAGTATGGAAACGCCCGGCAGCGGAGAGGATTCCGTGGGCAACTTGCACGATTTCTTGTGCAGCTTGTACTTGCCATAACAGATCGCGATCAGATGCACACACCATGTACCAAACCAGAAAATCATAAAAAATGCTGCGAAGCCATACAGTGCCAGTGGTAAATGTGACATTGTGTGTGTGTGTGTGTGTGTGTGCGTATGTTGTTGTGTGTTAGGTGTTGTAGGTGGTGCTGTCTGGCCCTGTGTGCGTAAGCGTAAGTGTGTGTGTGTGTAGTGGATGGCACTGCGGTTTAGTTGGTATACATCTGTGCGTGTGCTGCTGGTTTCGTCAACGCCTTTCGTCTTTGTAGCAGGCACAGAAGCAGCAATGCTATAATAAGAGACTCAGCCGGACTTTATCTCGTAGCCGTATCTGCCTTTGTCGTTCGCCGTGGCTGAGTCAGCATGCCCCGCTCACAGAGTCAACAATTGGTCGCGTTTGTTGACTATTTAACTTTGTCACTGTGTCGTCATAGGAGTTTCTCGGATTATTTTTTGCTAATTGTTCACTAATTTGCGCGTGATAAACATCTCGAAGACTTCGCGTCGCGTTCCATGTCCAAATAAAAACTGCAACGAAGAATAGGGAACGCGGAAGTGAAAATACGCAAAAAAATGCACTAATTTAGTATATTTTAAAAATACCAAATATATAAAATTTACGCTAATTATGCCTTAGTGCATATCATTTAAAAATAATGGTACACAACATTTATATTATATTTAGTTTTTTTTCTCGAATAGTATAAAAATTCATTAGGATTCAATAAGATGTGAGACAATATATAATTAATTTTGTATGCACATTTTTCACAGAATATGGCACACAAATTGTTGCAGCATTTTGCTTTGTCAGCATACCTGGCATAACATGTCGTTACTTTGGTCTCACTCGATAGCGCAAAGAGGCATGCATATAAATAAAACTATATTTATAATGCTTAATTCTCATATAAATTTCATCAAAAAAATATGTAAGTAGGCTAATAATGTGTTCGGGTCGATTTGTTAACGTAAATATGCAAGGTTAAGCACACAAAAATTCTAAATAAGGACGAAGATGGAGCCCGAAGGAGGAGAGTGCGCCATAAAAGATGGAGCCGCGGATAGCAAAATTGTTGACCAAAGTTTTGTCAAAGTATTTAAGTCGGAGTTCGATGCCAAGTACAACATTGTCGACATCCAGACTCCACTAAATGCTTTCATGTCCGGTCAATTCAAGCGTAGTTATGCCTACTTCACTCTGCGAAATCTTCTGCCCGTCGTGCTCACAAAAGTTATTGACTCGCTCACAAAGGATAAAGGGGAGCTAGTCGCGCAATTTGGTGAGGTTTGTAATAAGTTAAGGATGTTATCCTAACCGTAATCTATAGCGCCCACACAATTTGTGCAGAACGCGCGGGAGGAGCTGAAGATTATCATTGGGCTGATTTCGCGGCTTAAATATGAGCTGCAAACGGACAAGCCCTTCCAAAAGTTTACTGGCGATGGTAAGTAAGAGTTGGCAATAAAATAAATAAAACAATATCTTACTTTGCGATGGCGAAGATTGAATATTGAATTTGCAATATTTTCTTACTTGAATACACTTGCTTTGTACTTGAAAAAAATGTCTAGATAAATAATCTGAAATGATTTGTTAAATGCTTTCAGAGGTAGATCGCGAATCATGGAATAGCTTTATATCACATCTGCCGAATGATGGGCGCACTTTTTATCAGGCATGCTGGATGCACACCCAATGCTATTTGTATCGCAAGCTTTACTCCTTCGTGGAAAACAGCATCTTCATAAAACAGTTTGATTACTTTGGCAAAATTAAGGAGCACGCCCTAACCAGCTGCCAGGACGATATACTCTCTTTGGCTAAATACACACGACGCACGGAGAACAGCGTCGAAATGTTCAATGAGATGTTGAAAATTGACCTATGGAGCAACCGAAACGATCTCTCCGAGAACGAGCATGCACGAATGTTTAATATGAGAGTACTGGAGGATGTGAGTGTTACGGATGGCCATATTCTCGCCAACAATGCTTCCGAAATATGGGACTGCTTGTCAAACAAGAAGACAAACAAACAGCATGTCGATTTTGTGCTGGACAATGCTGGTTATGAGCTGTTTACAGACTTCATTCTTGCCGAGTACATAATCGAAAAGGGACTCGCTTCCAAGGTGCGGTTTCATGTCAAGGCATGTCCTTGGTTTGTTACCAATGCCACACAGCGTGATTTCCATATGACGCTGCAATATCTGAGCAAACACCCTGACTATATAATTAGTCTGATTGGCAACAAGTTTTTACAATTCATGGATGAGGGTAAATTTGAATTGGCGCCCGTGTCTTATTTCTGGACCGGACCACGTGCTTTTCACTAGTGAGTCCTCAGCGTTCTCGTATCCGTACAACAATTTACAAAATTTACCTCTTGCAGCATGAAAACCCTGGAACCCGAGCTATACAGAACGCTGCAGCAGTCAAAGCTGATTATATTTAAAGGCGATTTGAACTATCGTAAGCTGTTAAGCGACGTCTGCTGGGAGCCTACACAGGATATGAGAACGTGCTTGGGCGGATTCATACCGAGCAGCTTCTGCACTGTGCGCACAATCAAGGCAGAGGTAATATGCGGTCTTTCCGAAGGCGTCGTTGAAAATCTGAAATTGAGAGACCCCAACTGGATGCTCACTGGAAACTATGGCACAATTCAGTATGTGGATGGCTCGCGGGAGTTCGGCTATTAATATATTAAGCTCTGTATTTTATTAGTTTCGAAGTCAATCCAAATATAATAACATCAGTCTAACAGTTTTACAGTAGTCATTGTTAATCTTTTTGGATTCTATTAAAGTTGATATTACACAAAAACACACACAAACGCATCTTTTTGTAACAGTGTCTCCAGAAGCTTCGACGGGTAATTTGGTCGGATTTGTATATGTATAAATATGATAAAAGAATGTATGCATACACCAAAGTCCAAAGCTATACCCCAAAAAAGAACGGGACGCATCCGAAAAGTTGTATTGCATTTGTATATACTGAGCGAAGGTAAATACCATTCGTTGCCTAAGCTCTTATAATAGTGCAGTAAAACGAACTATGGAATTATCGATAGCATCGATGGGGAGAACGGGTTGCAAACTATCGATAGCATAAAAAGGGATATTTGGAAATCTAGAAATTATCTCAACAGATTAATTAATTTAAAAAATAAATGGAAGCAGGGCAAGATGGTAATTTGCTCGAACCCATTACGGTAATATGTACAGACAAAGAGCTAGTCGAACATGGCCCATTCTGTCTCTTATTCAAATCATTGATCAAGCAATTGGAACATACAATTTATTATTAGCCCTTTTAACTGGTTTTGATAGGGTGATAATAAAACAAATGCTCAAAAGTTGCCTTATAATAATTATTTTAACAATACATATAAATATATATAATAATATCTCAATATAGTTTATGATCATAATCATCTGCTTGTCGAAATGTGCGACACAGCGATTGTGGCGGTTACGATAGTTTTTGAAATGTGAGCTGAAACGGTTTCTCTAATTGCTGATTTTATCCGATCATTAGCGACCTACTTTGATTATCATTCCGAAGCTTAATATGTATTCGATAAGAAATTATCGACCGTGTCCCACCACTGCGAGTTAGTTCCGTAGTAACATGCATTTCTGCTGTCGACATTCAAGGCGCCAAGACAAATAGAGATAGGTTTTATATTGTAACAGTTACTGTGCAGCAGGTGATACAACAAACGATTTACAGCTGATTAAACATACCAAGCAGCAAGCAAAAGAAAATATGACCTTAGTACAACACGATGCGGATTTTGATGCTGCTAATGGAATTATTGATAGCGAGGCGCCTCCACACACGCCGCTAGCAGCCCTATACAAGCAGTAAGTAGAATTCGCTATATATAGCATATCGAAAATTTCCCCACGCATATGAATACGCTCATATGTTCGTATATATGTATGGAGCGAACCACTGATGTAATTTGATTGCCTGACCTCTAACGTGACCCCCTCTCTAGGAGCTTTGCATACTACACCTTTCGCGTGCGCTTGCCTTCAACTCTGGACACAATTGCCAAGTCCCTGGCCAAGGACAAGGACGAGCTGCTGTCAATATATGGAGCGGTTAGTTGTAATATTGCATAATTCAGTGAGCCTTACGTTGCAATCAATCAATGTTACTTTTTAGGACTCAGCCTCAGATATTGATCAAACAGCTGCAGCCATTCTTGAGCTGCGCTCGAATATTTTGAAAAATGGACCGTTACAGCCGTTTAATGACAAAGGTATGTATGCATAGCGGACCGTAAGGAAGCCAGATACCTGGCGCTGATTTATGAGTAGAACATTAAAAAAGAAAAATGAATAGGTATAGACAAATTTCCAGTCGCTAACAAATTTAAGCAATCAGATCTTATCGAATCTATTTTTATCACGTAGAATTTTTAATACAACTTAGAATGGTTTTCGAAAATTTGAATTATAGAAGACAAAATTATAACTTTAAATATCACAGTTGTTCATTAAAGAAAAACCAAACTGACAAATTATTATTATTATTATTATTAGTATTAGTATTATTATTATTATTAGTACTATTATCAATATCATTAGAGTTATTATTATTATTATTATTATTAGTATTATTATTACTATTATTATTATTATTATTATTATTATTAGTATTATTATTATTATTATTATTATTATTATTATTATTATTATTATTATTAGTTATAATTATTAATATTATATTCATTATTCCATTAGAATAGCTTCAGTTCTTTCCTAACTATGAAAGATTTAATTTGGTTTGTTTATTAAAGTAAATGCATTCATAGTTAAGAAAGAATTGAATCTATTCTAATAGATATTATAAGACCATGAAATAAAAGAGAAATACTTGATAAAAAAAACCTTTATTTAGAGATCGACGCTGGATTTTGGAATGCTTTCTTGGAGCAATTGCCAAAGGAGAAGCGCACCTACTTCGCCACGTGCTGGCTGTACGCCGAGTGCTTTATGTATCGCGAAATATGGTCCATATTCATATCAACGCGCCTGGCCGGTTTTGATTACTTCCGCAAGCAGAAGCAAACGGCCGCACAGCTCAGCGTGGAAGCCATGCTGGCAGTAGCAAATGGCACCCGAAAGAACGAACGCAATTTGGCCACTTTTCAGAAACTGATGAAGCTCAATTTGTGGGGCAATCGCTGTGATCTGTCCATTACGTCGGGCAAGCAGGTGAAACCGATGGGTGATGCCTTCGACCAAGTAGCCCATCTGGATACCAATTTGCTGGTAGATGACACTGCCGTCATATGGCAGACACTGGAGGGCTCCGACGGCAACGGCATTGTGGAATTTGTATTCGATAATGCGGGCTATGAGCTTTACACAGATCTTATACTGGCTGAGTATATCATCGATAAGGGACTAGCGCGAAAGGTGCGCTTCAATGCCAAAGCGATTCCCTGGTTCATATCGGATGTCATGGCCGCAGATTATCACTGGACGCTACAGTTTTTAATCGATCACACGCAGCCTGTGCTCAGCGAGCTGGGAAAGAAGTTGAAACGGTTCAACGATGAAGGAAAATTCGAATTGGCTCCACTCGAGCATTTCTGGACCAGTCCATATGAGTTCTATCGCATGGCAGAAGTGCAACCGGCGCTATATGAGCGCCTCTCGCAGGCTCAGTTGGTAATATTCAAGGGCGATCTAAACTATCGCAAGCTACTGGGCGACTTTAGTTGGAACCATACTGAATCATTCGAGACCTGCCTGCGCGGTAAGTTATATTGTGTAGTAGTCGGACATTTTATGCTCACAGAAATACCATGTATCCTTACGTAGGTTTCAAGCCCTCAAACCTTTGCAGTCTGCGCACTATCAAAGCGGATTTGGTTTGTGGACTCCCGCCTGGCATATCAGAGCAACTCTTTGCCAAGAACAAGGAATGGATGCTTACAGGCGAATATGGTACAATTCAGTTGGCCAGCAAGTAAAGTGCCCTGAAAATTATCATGATACAATACTATAGCTCAAATGTTGCGATTTAAGGCGTAGCTAAATTGTTAAATCAAATTTTCACTGTTCAAATATAGCACCAATATTTTGAAATATTTTGTCTTAATGTTGCTGTTTTATGCAAAATTGAATTCAGGTTATTTTTTTATCGACGAGTTTTTCGAACATCAGTAATTCCAAAAAAAGGTTGTAGAAGATATAATATCATAATTAATAATTAAAGTTACGGTCCCTTATTTCGAACCCACTTTTAATGAGGTGAGGCCTTATGGGTAGAAAGGGAAAAACTTCCCCGTGCAATATTTAAATGTATGTGTAGTTCGCCTTGAATCAATACCAGTATTTATTGGAACTGTGATCATATTTTTAGAGCTCTCACACCTTTGGGAAGTGAATGATGTCAAAATTGTAAAGTGAGAAAAAATATATGCCGAAAAGTTGATTAACATCATGTCGGACACTGAGCTAAATACTGAACATGGCAGCGAGGACGAGTCCGACGCGTCAACGCTGCACAGCAAGGACGCATTATCCATTCATGACGAGGTGTTTGATGAGAAACATAATATTTTCGACATTGCTCCGCCATTGCGGGAACCGCTTTCTGCCAGGTACAAGCACAGCTTCGCCTACAAAACATTCAGGAAGCGTGTTCCCCAAATGCTTAACGAGCTGATAAGCTGTATGCGAGAGAACGAAACCAGGATCATGGAACAGTGCGGCAATTATGCGCGCTACGATCTGCGGCGCGTCATCTGGAGCCTGGAAATACTGCGCACGGAGGTACAGAAGAACAGCGAATTCAAGCATTTCATCGACAAAGATCCAGGTGCCAGCGAGTGGAATATCTTCATTAAAAAGCTGGAAAATCGCGAGAAAAACCAATGGTTCACCTCCACGTGGATGGACGCCGAGTGCTACTTGTATCGCCGCATTTGGGCTGCATTCCGGCGCGCAGACACGCTCAGCAGCTACGACTATTTCAGTCCAAAGAAAATATGCTCCACGCGCAATAATGTTTTCCTGCTGCTTAATGTTTTGAAGGGGACACGGGATCTTCCGCGCTGTCGGCTGCACTTTCTATTGATGCTGAAGCTATCGTTGTGGGCGAATCGCTGTGATCTTTCAATCAGAACCGACGCTCCGAATGAACGCTTCTTAGAGCAAATGGCTGATTTCGACGAACAATTGATTGCGGATCAGTCCGAAGATGTGTGGCGCCTGCTAACAGAGGGCATCCATACTTCCGTCTGTCCCGTCACTGTGGACATTGTCTTGGACAACGCGGGCTTCGAGCTCTTTGCGGATTTGCTGCTGGGCGAGTATTTGATTCAGGCAGGGCTGGCGGTAAAGGTTCGTTATCATGTGAAGGCTATCCCTTGGTTTGTCTCGGATGTGACTGCCAACGACTTTAACTGGATGCTGCAATTCCTTCTGCGGCACGAGATATCAGAGTTGTCAGCCTTTGGGCGAAAACTGCGTCGATTTATGCGGAACAAGTCCATGGAGCTGTGCAACACCTGTAGCTTCTGGACAAAGCCTCAGTGTTTCAAGTTCATGCGCGAAATGGCGCCCTGTTTGTATGTTCAGCTAAGTCTGGGCGCCTTGACAATATTCAAGGGGGATCTTAACTATCGTAAGCTGCTGGACGATGTTAACTGGAGTTCCACAACTCCATTTGGCGAATGTCTGAGCGGCTTTCTGCCCACTAGCATCTGTGCGCTTCGCTCTATTAAGTCTGATATATATTGTGGTTTGCCCATTTGCGTTGTCGAGTGGTTAACGGAGGAGGATCCAAACTGGATGTGCACTGGCGAGAAGGCGGTTATCCAGCTGGCTGTCAAGGCGAGACCTTAAACCTTTGTTAGCTACATCTTTCATGGTCACAAAAGTAATATTTAAACTGAGTGTGCGCTGTTTAGCATGGCTATAGGTTGGTTCCAAAGATCCTTGGTAAGCTCCGAGCTGCGACTATATCTGCTCGGATCCATAATGCGTCCCACATTTAGTTCTGGATAGTAAATGGCTGTATAATTAAGCTAAACAAGTTGGTAATTCTATGATTTGAATATATCTATTGTCGTTTTATTAGTTACGACCTTAAAGCTAAATGGTAGGCCGTGTAAGTCGTAAACATAAGTATGACATTCCATATACGCAGTATAGACTATAACTATGCATTATTAAATATGAATAGTAGAAAAATATGCTCTAAGGCCATATCTTATATATATATATATATATGTACGTGTATATCCATACTGCATTCCTCGGGGGTTTTGCAGCAGTATTGAAACAATTCGTCGAATTTCAAGTCTTATCAATTGCCGTTACAGAAAAAGAAGTGAAGAACTCATCAAATTTCCCACACATTATTTTCAGGCTGTTCTCACATTAAGAACTGTCGATCTATCATCGCCAGCTACGTAATATCAATTATTTATTAAAAGTCAGTAACTAAGTGCATTTTTTCTCGTTAGATATCTTGGAGGGAGTTCTCTCGGTCGCTGGCTCACAACACACAATTGGGATTCAGCTGTTGATATGGCGTCAGATCCTTGGTGATCGAGAAGAGCGCACCATCTCGCACCATTTTGCACATAAGCGCGCCTAGATTCTTGGCATCATCGATGCCAGAATGTGCGCGTCCCTCAAAGGCTAGGCCCACATGTGAGAGGGCATCGCTGAAGTTGCAGGGCCGATACTTGTACCACTCGCGATAAACGGCACGCACATCGATCCACTGATTAAAATAGGGAGCCTTGCGCATGCGCTTGCGTGTGCACTCCTTGTGCAGACAGATGCCAAAGTCCCAGTCGGTCCATGTGACGAATGCACAGTTGCCCAGTATATTTGACTTGCTCATCTTGGGTAGCAGCAGACTGCGGGCACGCAGTTCCTTGCGCAGCCATTCGTGGAACATCATCAGCGCTGTTTGCAGGGGCACGCCAGTGTCCACAGTCTTCTGTTCTATGCCCGTTAACTCCGTGCAGTAGGTGCTCAAGCGCGGCGATTCAATGGGCATAATATACTTGTGAAACTCGGCTTCGATTTTGCCCGTTTTTAGATTGACGAGAACGGCTGGAAACTCTGCAAGTCCAAAAAGTTATTAATGGTGATCGGACAGGCGTATCATCTGTTATCAATTCTTACCTATGATCTCCGCTTCCCGCCACTGTGGCGGTGCCTGTTTCTCCCAGCACGTGGCCTCAAAGTCGACGGCAATCACATAGCTGAAGGGCTGCATAGCCAACTGTTTGGATTTGCGTGACTTCTTTGTCTTGACGGGAACTGTGGCTACTTCGGATGCACCGTTGATGCTGATGTCAGCTTCGTTTTGTAATTCGTCCAAATCGTTTGCTGGATCTGGTCGGGCGCCCTCCACATACAACGTGTCAATCAGGCCCAGTTGTCTGCCAAAAAGCAAAACCAAACATTCAAGTTGTAATACGTTGGAAAATATCTGTAAACTTTTTTTTCAGTTTTTGTTTTGTTTTTTAGAAAATATATGAAATACTATGTGATATCTTGGCAACTTGTAGTTATACTAGGAATGAAAATATACAAACTACTTTTGCCTGACTCTCTTACATGTCTACAAAGCTGCTACTGCGATTACAAATAATAAACTGTTTAAATTACAATGTTTGCTTGCCTTACGATACGATTATTTACATTTTTTCAATCTAATGGCTTTTTCATTTACACATTCAAACTTTTTGCTACTTTAATATACTGCTGAGAGAAACTTATTACAACAACAACTCATATAAAAAATGACTCCTACGGAAATTCATTTTGTGGCAGAGGTGTCAATAAGGACTTTATATGCCAAATAATTGAATGTACATGCATCGACTTACATGGGCAACAAATATGAAGATGCATGACCTATTCCTATTAAGAAGATTCATGGGTTCAATGGATTTCAAGCTACTTTTCGTAACACTTCAGTCAAATTTAACAATTGGAAATACTGAAAAAATAACTATTTCATGTTGCACCTTCTCGCTGCTACAGCTGCTGCGACTGCTGCTGCTGCTGCTTTCCATAGCAAACGATCATGGGCTTCTGATGCCAGAGCAGACCGTTCGTTTCGGTCAAGGCTTTGGCCACCACCACCGCCGCCGCTGCAGCCGTCTGATTATTGGAATCGAGGAATGTGACAAAGGCCTGTCCCTTCATGCGGCCCTGCTGCATTACTTTAATGTCCAGACTCTCAGCTGGTGCGTATTGAGCGTAGAGCGTTCTTAGCTGTGACTCCGTTATGCTCTTGTCAAGATTTTTAATGTACAACTTGTTGCTAGGCTCGCCCACTTTGTAGTTCTTGTAGACAGGCAGCTCTTGCAGTTGCTCAGATGACAGACGTTCTGCCGGCAGCTGGTTAACAACCGGCAAGGTTGTTGGCAGCTTTAGTTCAATTTTGCGCGCAGCAATGGCGGGTACATCCATGTTTTCTTTGACTGCTGCACTTTTGCCTGGCTCACTGGCAGCCACCTGCAGCATTTGGCGGGCACGCTTGCGATACTGCTCCAGAACCGCGCTTTCTGCTGGGCGCTTTAGCTTTGGCTGTTTTTGCTGCTGCTTGTGCTCCTCATCGCTCTCCAGCTCGCTTTCAGACTCGCTTTGGAGCACTTCTGTTTGCGTCGTAACACTTTGGGACTGCTGTGCTGGGAGATGGAGACCTGCAGGTCGGTGGCCAAAGGGTGGCATTAAATTCATGCGGTTCATGAGATGAAGCACCTGCACGTAGAAGCGTTTGTCATTCTTGAGTGTATTTCCTATGGCGGCCAGAATGTCGGCATTGATGGGCGGATACGCATAGCGCAGATATGGCGGTGGTGGCTGCATAAAGTCACATTGATTATTGCGGGCATACAACTTTTGCACATACTTTTTGATCTCTGGTTGGGAGGAGGCATCCGCCGTCTGAGCCTGAGCTGTTGCTTGTGTAGATTTGTTGGCGAGCTTCGGCTTGGTGCTATCATTGGAACGCGGTCCGAACGAGCTGACGCGTAACGGCTTGTCCAGTATTTCGTTTAATCCCAACAGCTGTTCTAGGGCGGATTGCGCCTCTTCGGCGTCGGCATAATCAAGCAGCGCGCGTCGGCGTCCAAAGGCATTTAGTGAACGAGGTATAATCAGGTTTGCCTCTTGAATTAACTGTGCGAATTCGAGCATGCTGCAGGGCATGTTCTTAAGCAACAATTTGCTTGTGGCTATGCTCATTTTTGCAATATTCCAATTAAACCAAAACGTGCTACTATCGATGCAGTTATCGATTGAAAAGAGGCGATAACTTAAAGAAATAGTATGACCAGTTGTTAGCTAGTCTGTATCGTGTGGAGCAAAGCTGGATTGCACATCTGTTAAGTGAGGAGCAACGCTGTTAAGTGTGGCCATGCGCATTTTTGACAGCTGGCGGCGCACTTTTTAATTTGTTACAGTTTAATTTACAATGCATTTTGTTTGGTCGATATAATCATATGCTTGCACCGGGCTCATGTTATTTTTATAAATCGCCAATTGTTGTTATGCTCAAGCCCCTTACTTTCACTAACAGCGGCCAACGAACGGTCATAACTAGATAAAACCACAAATTATGCGAACATAAACTTGTTTGTCAGCCTTGAACAGCTGCGCCGCTATTACCGGTTTTATCGTGTGACAATGCAACGAAATAAAAACAAATATATTACACAACAATTGTGCATATATCGCCATGTCCATATCAGAAGACGCTGATTACGTGCTTTAAAATGTACGAATCGCGTGCTATCGCATTTATGGGCGGGTGCACTGTGTAATCGTAATTGCAAGGGCAATTAATGCAGATGGTTAAGGGAATCTTCTGAAAAAGAAAAAAACAAATACTGCGTTTCAGATTACAGATGGGCAAGTCGAAAGAGTCAATGCACTTTCATTAAGTGAATTGTATACTTGTATGCACAGATGTATGAAAAACACACAAATGCCTGACATGAACTGTTCTGTTTTTGATATTTGGCACACACTCCTACACAATGCCGTTATAAAAAGATCAGCACACATGGCGTGCTCAACACTCAAAAGTCAGATTGCATAAAATTTGCAATGATTAAATGGACAACAACAACGACAACAACAACAACAACAACAACAGTGTTGACAACGCCAACGGCGACGACTCTCACTTTCGTTTGGCTCGTCAGCTGCTTGCTTGGGGGAGAGGGGGGGGAGAGGGGGGATCGGAGGCGGAGGCGGAGGCGCACTAACGATGTCCACTGCAAATGCGGAAGCAGAGATATAGCTGCCTTATGGCAAGCGGCGGGCACCAGAAACAGACGAAACTTGGATGAATGAACTCTATGTTGATCTGTTATCTTTCAGCAGGCGCTAGCCGCAAAACAAAATTGCACTTGTGAGATTCGCGCGAGCGTTTGATCTTTTGCATTCCAAGTGACACTAATGGGTTAATGCAGCTATATTTAGAAAATATTCTCTATCAAGCGGCACGACGCACGACGGAAAAAAAAGGGCGTCAGCCGGAACGTGCATTGCTTGAATGGCGAGTAAATTGTAAATATAATTACAGCAGCTATTATTTCATATAGTATCTACACCAATACTGCAGTCAAATATAGAATTATATTAGTTATTAAATATGTTAAGCAACAGAATAAGCTCTTTTCATTTTGCGACAGATTCTTACTAGAATATATAGTATCCGATTCAGACACAGGTAAGCAGTACATAATTTTAGTTCATAGAAGGAAGAGGGTTTTCGTCTCTAATACACACATAAAAACACACACACAATAATGAAGCGATTATGGGAAAAGTTACCTTTAATATCTATATTTATAATACTCCCAGGATTCGTATGTTTGATTTGTATATCATTGAGTATAGATCTACCTTGAAGCTTTCTTGGAAAAACATTTATTATTTGAAAAGTGCAACTAGACTATATTATAATCAATTTGGTGCATCTGGTTCCTATAACCTCCGAGATACGTTAAACCTTTTTCTAGAATTGAATTTTCAATATCTATCAGAAAGTAGAGAGATACTATATAGCAAAAAGAAGATTACCATGCTAGCATAATATGCGAGATAATTGGAAATTGATAGTCTATACATTTTAGTTTCTAAGAGCAAACAGACCTATCGATTCAGGTCGTCTTTTTGATCAGGAAAAAATATATTTAAACATTTTCGAAAATGCATTTAACTCTTTTTAACCATTTGAACGCTTACAGTGCACAATTAAAGTATGTACGAACATTTTTTATAGAATGTGCCGGGTATTGACTCAGCTAATGGCCAAGTGGAAACTTTTGGGAAAATAGTTCATTATCAGCAAAACTTTTTGTCATCTAGGAAAACATACTTGAACTAGTTTAAAGTCTGCTCATTGCGTGAGAAAGACTTATTTGGCTTAATGCAAGGTTCGTTTATCCAAGATAATCAAATTGGACTCTTAACAAAAAATATTTTTTAACTTCCAGCCCGGTTCCGACATATTTATGTACTGCCTGCCACAGAAGACGGACCTTAGAAGTCTCTTGAGAGACTTTGAGAGAGAGAGAGAGACAATCGACTCTTGATACTGATCGAGAGTATATGTACTTTCCCCTAAGGGGGTATTACACAAATGTTCATTAAGAAAATTGAGTGGAACATTCGTCATGAAACGTGTCTCCGTTTCTTAAAGCACCTCTTAGAACCTTGTAGTCAAAAGACTACAACCTCTTAAGAGTACCAGGACCAAAGAACTATTCCAAAATAAGGCCAAGCTAAAGCCCTTTATATTCTCTTTGTGAATCTTCAGGCCAAAGATGTACGAATATCATGAAAAAGACCTAAGACTTAAGGTTCGCAAATGAATGGGCAAGCGCAACAGGTTCCGTTTGGACGTGTTTACAAAAGCGACTTTTCTGTGTGTTTTCGGTTATTACGTGATGGAGCCAAGCCCCTAAAGCATTTAATTATCAATCAAATGGGCGGCTCGTGCTGTTATTAATGCGTGTGTCATGCGGGCCAAGCACAATGCACAAATGTGCGACTATACGGCAATTATCTGGCAAACAATTTCACTAAGCTACAATTTGTACGGCATGCACAGTATTTGACATTTAAGATGGGGGCGGGGCGAGGAGGGCAGGTCTGTCTGATAAATAAAAGTAGAGTAGGAAAACAAGTCTTGACAACGATTACGATCTCGAACAGTTTTGAGAATTATCGCGAGCTAAATTCAAAAATGCATTTCTTACTTTTTAAAAATAAAGATAATTTTGTTATTTATGCTTGTTGTTGAAGGTAAAGTTTTCTTTTTCGAATGTAATATAAACACGAATGTCGAACACATTGAATACATGCTGCACTTATTTTAAAGCAATAAAACTTAAAGATTTTTTTCTCTAGGGCGACTGTCTGGCAATAATAAATGAATGTAATATGCATTTTGAGCAGCTTAATTCAGGTAGTTCTCCATGTTGAGCATATACGTTATATCTGCATATATTATAGGACGCAACAATTTGGGTTAAAAACAGCTTCCAAGGTTGAAATACCGGGAACTCTAGCATAAATGTTGCTATAAATACACATGAAAAAGCATGTGAAATTCGGCAACGTATGCAAATGTTCACAAGCAATTGTAAGAGAGGTGCCAAAAATAGCGCAATTGACTGAATCAATCAATGAAAGGTTCAAGTCGAAGAGTTAGCGACAAACGGCTCGCAATAAACGCAAATATTTCTGTATGTTATGTATGTCGTACTGTATGAAGCTTTGATCTAGTCGAGCAACGGATGACATATTACACTAATTGATATCAGTCGCTGGCACGTGCTCCATAACAATAGAACCCTTGGCTTTACTAATTGCCACTGGGGCCAATTGATGACTGTATACTCAATGTCCTTGGGCGTGGCAATATACTCATACTTATATTTAATATGCATTATGCATTTTGCAGTCGCGGTACGAGTCGACTGCAACTGATATTGAAATTAGCAATTACAACCTTAAAATATGGACAGGTCGAGCTATTTAGTATACCAGCTCGTACATACTGTGCACATATTGCGCATACGCCGCGTGCAACGTCTGAATTGGAGGCGCGTGCATGAAATTTGCCAGGCCAAATGTTCGCCTCTTCCCTCTCGCTCGCACCCCTGCCAACCGAGAGCCTCCCATTGGCTCTTCCCTATAAATTCGATTGCATTTGAATGTGTGTGTTGGTTTCTGCTGCGGCTGCCTTTATTTCTCGGCCATAAGTACATCGCCTTACTTACTGCCACATGTGTGTCTAGCATACATATATTTATGGCTTTGTCTGTGTCTGAGTGTGTGTGTGTGTGTCTTTGTCTTTGTGTGTGTGAGCATTTGCTCTCGACTTTGGATAAGTTTGGTGAAAACTGCTTTCAGCCGGATTTCCCACTGAAATCACCAGCCAACCAACAAAAAACAGCAATGGACGCACAGTGGAACCTTTTGACTTTTTTCCATGTACAAATCATAATTTCTGCACTAAGAAAGAGAAGCAAAGGCAAGTGAGTTCCTTAAATTTTAGGAGTCAACAAAAAGTTTGATGTTATTTTAGATAGACATATTTTACTTATTTGAAATAGACGCTAAGACTGACTCTTGAGAAATTCCATCCGTGAGAGATGGAGAGATGAGAACATAGAGTTTTTTTTTCTATTTCCTCACTTTGTGCAGTTCTCTTTCAGTATTAGAGTCATTCAAGCATTTTTGTTGAAAACAGAGCGTTTTTTCTAATTTAGATTTTATGGTTAAATTTAGAAGACCGCCGTCAATTAACAACTACTCGCATGCATGAAGAATTCATAAGATTTACATGTGCTAGAAAGAGATGAACCTAAAAGTTGCACATTGAATTAGACAGAAATGCGCAGACTTTGTTGCAAAGTAAATAGATACATTATTTATTAGGGAAATAATGCCAATGAGAAACAGAAAAAATATCGTTTGTAAAGTAAAAATTAAATAAAAAGCTATTCAGAATAATAATTTAATTAAATTGGAGTCAGGCTTTTGTTTTAAAATGTTCGCATTCTTTTATCTACATTATATTTTCAGGATCTTAATCTCTGATGTGTTTTGTATGCGATGAAAATTTGTTTTATTTTTGCTATGCTTTCCGGCCATTGTGCCCACTGTGCGACGCGATGTCCGCTTCAAGCGCAACAATCGATTCCAACATTTTTCGTTTGCTTCGATCATTAATTCCGTACTCACGATATTTATCTGAACGTTATGTTCTAAATATGCATTTCACTTGTATATACTATTTACATTGAAAATAATTAAAATTTCTTTTTAGAATTCTTTTCATTTTCACCTATTACAATTATTTGATTGTCTGATTCCTACAAAAACATTTATCGAAATTGCGTCTTAAAATAATTGAAAAACAGCTCATTATTGTTTGTTTACACTCGACACTCGAAACATATTTAAGAAATTCTATTGAATTGTTGGTGCATGCCATTCTATTGCCTTCTCTGGAGATTTCCCCCCGTTCCCCCGTCTATCTATTGCTATAAAGATCTGATATCCTCGTGCCTATTTTATTCTCAGCCCCATATATATTTTCATAAAGCGGCAGCCAGTGAGAACCCATCTGAACCAGAAACGTTGTCCAAT